CTGACCTGGGGCTTGTGTAAAAAATTTCCCAGCCTTCTCATTTTAATAAAAGCCTAACAAGAAGCTAATAAGGGCTGAGCATTCTTAGTCTCTAATCTGCATTCACCTCATTCAAGGATTACAATACTTTATAAAAAGGCACCTCCCTAAACAGGCCGTCTGTGCAACTATGTTTGGAAGGTGCTAGCATTTATACATTAATATGCTTTAGCTATACTTTTTTAAAAAAACAACAATCAAACGATAGAACATTTTTTAAAATAGCAGCTGTTTTCTTTTCTGGTTCTAGCCTCTGTTTAATTTCTATGAGCAGATGAACTTTGCCATTTTAAATGTTGAGATCTTTGAGCCTCAACATTCTATAGACTCTTACGCCAAGCTCCCTACTGGAAACAACAGAGAGATCTGTTTTGAAATGAGATGGTTTCATTTAATTCTGTGGAGAACTGCCAATCATATGGACTTGATATGCACTGTTTCTTAAATTATAACCAAAATGAGTTATTAGAAAAGTCTGGTACCTACCAGAGTTTTCTTCTAATTAAATTACCTAATTGCATTTTTTAGTTTAAATTAAAGTAAATTTAGTTTAAATTAACTTTTCAAGCCCTATTTATGACAAGAAGAAAGGTACTCCATTATTCATATCCAAAGGAGAGAACATGATGTATTATAAGTTTCATGTAGAGTAAAAACTATGATACATGTTGGAATCAGTAGTGCTACCTACCTATAAAATAGAAATGAGGAATGTATCTAAATATGGGTTGTATTCAACTACATTTTACTTTGAGTAGACCCACTGAAATCAGTGGACCTAAGTCATGTTCATTAACTTCAGTGGGCCTACTCTGAGTAGAACTAGCATTAGATACCTTAAAAAAAATATCAAAATTGCACTCTTCCAATTGTTCCATCTGCACAAGGATTCCAGCTTGCAGGTGGAACAATACTCCTTTCTCCTCCCTTTGTGCACTGTTCTGGAGGTTCTCCTAACACCCCCATCCAATTTCAGGGAGATAGGGAGAAGTCCCATTGGGCAAGCAGAAGTCCTTACACAGGTCTTATGCAAGCAGGGCTGGTTAGGTGATCCCTACCCTCAAAAGTGCAGCAGGAGAAACAAGTCATTTAATTATTATGCTGCAACCTTATTATCTAATTCCATGTTTCACAATCAGATGAATTTCTTAATTTTAAAATTGAGAAACACATAATTTCATATTCAGATATAGGCTATGTTTACACTGCAGGCTATTGTTTTCCATTCTGGTTTTGTTGGTTCCAGAGTGATCACCTTTGATGAACTGTGTTTTCCTTGCTGTTGAATCTGACAAGCTTTTCTTTCCCCTGCTGTAGAATGGTGCCTTGATCTCATACATTCACAGACAGGAGGCTTTATTTAATCTCTGCCCAACAGCAGATTAAGAGATACACTTAATCAAATTCCTACTGGTTGTTTTTTTTTTAAAAAAAAGCCACCTGTAATGTGACAGCATTGTAAGATTAAGGATTTTAACCTAATTTCAAAACGTCAGAGACCTATGAACTTATGACTATGGCTTCTTGAGGTTTATCTTCCAAGAACAGGTAACAAACATACTAATTTTAATTTAAATTAATTGTGTTGGAATGTAAACTACATCATTGCAGGTCAGCCTCTTAGGCAATAATCCTACACCCATTTAAATTGCAGTCTTCAAACTACTTTCTTGGGTTGAGTCAGAATACATAAGGAAGTGGTTAAATATGGCTGCCTTTAGGGGGTGCTATGTCTAGCTCCTTCCTGATCATTTGCATGTGACAGCAGAAATGCTTATATTAAACCTGCAGTATGGAAGCCACAGCCCTCCAAATGTTACATGAGGACTCCAAATGTCACTCACATCAGCCCCAGCTAAAATGAACAGTGGTTGGGGATGATGGGAGTTGTAGTGGGCCACAGGTCCCCTGCATTCAACCTGACTTTTTGAAAAAAGCATACCAACACTCAGTTTGTGTGGTGTGCAACTTCACTAGAAAATAGTCACGACAAATTATGGGGCAAGAGATGCTTCAGTTCAATCTGGAAGAATCCTTTTTTAAAAAACACAAAACAAATGAAATTACCCATGCTGAACGAGCACATGGCTAAATTTCTCTTATGAAGAACTATGGCCAATGTCAGAAGGAAGATTTAGGATTTTGAATTTTAGTTTTAGTCCAACCTTTTCACCTTTTTGGGAGAAAGAGGTAGTATAACATTTCCACATTTTGGATTTCAAATTTCCACAGGAACCTTGGAAGGTCTTTGTGCCAGAAATGGTGATAAGTTGTCCCTTTCAGAAACAAGACTAAATTTTTGGCATAGAAATCAATTTATGTTTAAAAAGGCAATAAGCATGAATTATTGTGACATTATCAGCATTTCATTGGTTGAATAGTACCCATGTAAATAATCATATTCTGAAACAGCAACAAAAATATGATATATCATTACTGCTGCAATATGTTTTAAGTGGGATTATTGGCATGGTGCTAGCTAATCACATGATACCATAGCTACAATGTGAAAAATAAAGTTGCTCCAAAATGTTTCTATTGCCATGAAAATCAAGCACAAATGGAGTTCATAAACCAAGCTATGATGAACAAAGGCAGAGTGCTTCTGTTGTGACTTTGAAGACTCTGAAGAGCCATATAAGGATTACCCTTTCATGTTAAAGGAGAAAAGAATATCATCAGAAGAGACACATATTCACATTTGTTGACAATGGCAGCCAAAAACAAAATGGGCATGCAGGACACATCCAAAAAAAGACCTAAAAGAACTGTAGCATAATGGATTACCACCCAAGTGACACACAACACTATACACAACCTTGTTTTTGCAAAATCATCATCAAGTAATTCTAGGCAACCAAAGAAGTTACAGATTTTTCTAGGAATCCAGCCCGAGATCTATGAAATCTGAAAGGAGTTGGTTGAATGACCCACTTTTTGTTTCTGCAGATGAGTCACAATGCTCATTCAAAACCACTGGGAAGAGCACCTTTTCCCACAGACTACACTGTGAGAATTGTAAGAAGGAATAGGAGGTCATCATTTTGTATGCATGGTCAAAGCACATGCATTCCAGATCTATTCAGAATAATGATTGGTAGCATCACTGTATATGGTCATCCTCATGTTAAGTGACTCTTGGAAGGAGATATAATTTTTAAAACAAAATGGACATTCTCTTCCTTCTCCTGCCTCCATCCCACGGCTCAGAGGAGTTTCATCTCAGCCAGTACCAAAGCTCTGATATGAGAAATATCCCCAGCTGGGGGAAAGGAGGGGTGGTTTGGGGGAGTGAGTGATATATCTTTTGAATATAAACTTACGGAGCAGTTCAGAGTGCTACTCTCCAGATGCAGCTAAATACAATGGGAATTTGTGGTCCTCCAAATGTTACTGTACTACAATTTGCATCATCCCTGACCATTGGCCATCCTGCCAGGGGCTGATGGGAGTTGGAGTCCACCAACATCTAGGCTAAAACGATAACATGCTTCTAACAGAGTTCAGCTTTCAGGCAAATCAATGAATGTAGACAAAAAAACTAAAATATTTTTTTCTAAGTCACATAAGCAGCAAATGCAATATTTGCTGTCCAGTCATGTTCATTCCATAGTGAAAAAACTGAAAGACATTGTTTATGTGACTGGATTATTCCTTACACTTAAGAAACATGAGTAAGAATGGAACAATGTAGCCTTGACTCCAGTGCTCATTGTAAGCTAGAAAACATTTTTCTTCCATAAAAAATATAGAGAACAATTCTCTAGAGACCTACTGCCTCCTTTCAGCTTTCAGGTTTTTGGCATTTCTATTTTATGTCTCATTTACTCAGTCAAATTGCTTTTTGTTCACATTTTCTCCTGATGGCCAGCTTGGAACCAGAGTTTCCTTTCGTCTCCTGCAAGGAAACATGTTAGAATTCTGCATATATATCCAAGGGTGCATGGGAGACCAATCCCTTGGCAGAGAACCAAAAAAACCAATCCAGTTTGCTTTGTGTAGAATGGTATGCAGTCCATGGCATGCACCATCTGGCAATTACAAGGCTGCTTCATCTGATGACAGCCGAAAGCATTGATAACAGCAAGCCAGGAATATTGTATTATTTGGTTAAATGTTGTGCCACCAGCAGTAGGTGCCCTTAACAATCTAATGGTACAGTCAGCATGGGTGAAAATAATCTTCTTTTTTAGATTCTTCCTAGTGCTAAAGATACGCTGCACCCACCACCCTGCAGTCCAACAAAAAATAAAGAAATAATTCTCTTCAGGATCATTCACACTTCCACGTGTCTCATGTTTAGAATGCATGGGTCCAAGCAGTTTTGCCTTTGTCCCACTGCTGTCCCCCATAAAACCCACTCTTTCAATTCCTAATGCAGCTTATCATCCATCTCAGCCCTGCCCCAGAAGCTGCAAACCTCTGTGTTCAGCAAACTCTGTCTTTATCCTCTCTCCCTCTTTTTCTGGGGGCAGCCTTCACAATTAAACTACTACTAAATTGCCATTTTGTTATTATTTCTTATGAAAACTATTTTGACAGACAGAGGCCAAGTGATAAGACTTGATAAGCACAAGCATATGAAAAGAGCCAACCTATACTATCAAAACAAGAATCAATGGAGAGAAGATTCTACTTGGAATATCACACAAAAACACATGCCAAAAAAAATCTGCACGTAGAAAGTCAACATGTCAAGAAGAAAGGCAAGCTAGATTTTCACCCTGACATTTTTATTTTCAGGGACTGGGTGTTTGAACACCTGGGAGCATTCAGATCTGTGATTGCACTAAAGGTGACTGACCTTTATAACTTGCAAAATGTTGCATAAGGGAGCACTGTATAAATACAAATGCATCCAAATTAGTGCCATCATCTGGACGTATCCTTTGTTGTTTTTAGTTAGGGTCTGTCTGAACACATACTTGACATGATCTACTGCAGACATCGTATTTCATCAGTTAGTTTCTGAAACAAAGGGGTTAAATAAGAGGCTGACTATAATAGTTATTAAAGTTGTGAGAAAAAGCACACACACAAAATTCTCATCTGACTCAGTTAATTAAACATTTTGTATATTGGGACCAACCACCCATGACATCAGAATAAAAAAACACACAAAGGCTTACACAGAAAATGTCTTAGTTCTGTAGATTTGGAACAGCTTATATATTATTTGACTTTAGACTTGGCCTAGGATAAAAACACCAAAGGCACATTGTTCAAACTGGGAATTTGCTGGTGTTCAGAAACCAAGCACGCAAAATGATTAATAGTGATGACAACTTCTCACCAGAATATGAGTTCAGGTAGAAAAATGTGACAGTATTACAGAACTACTTTTAATAAACACACACACACAGCCTAACAGCAGACTTTAATATTTCCTCTGTCCTCTTTCAGAGACACTTTCTTTGTCCAGTCTGTGTTATCATTTTACATTCCTATCCTCCTCCTTTGGGCATACTTTAGCAGAAGAGGCGGTCAATAAAAGGTTTTAATTACAGTACATAGCTTCATATTAATTTTTATAAAATGACCACATAGTTCAAAAGGGGTGGAGGACTTCTGCTTCTAATTTTTACAGCTTGTATGCAAAGGTACTGATGACTAACACAGCCCTAGTAAAGCTAAGAAATCTATGCAAACACTGTACACTGCCTCCTTAACTTCATTTACTTTCTTCATTGAGAATAATCATTAGTGTATTTACACTGATTTTTTAATACAATATTTATTTACTGACTTTTGGCAGGAATACTTTCTTCTTCTTTTTTGTATATAATTTTTATTAATTTTCCAATAAAAACAAATTTATAACACAATTAAACATTAAGAATTCATCACACATCTTTTTTCTTTTGGACTTCCATCAACATGTCTGATAATTTTCCGTAGTTATTACATATCTTCACATTTCTTCATTTATATTGGACTATGTATATCTTATTTTACCATATTATTTAAACAATATTTCTACCAAACCTTCTTACAGAGCTTCTTGGAAACTTACAAACGTTATATCATTATCACAAATATTTTTAATATATTCTGTAAATTTATTCCAGTCCTCAGTGAATCTTTGGTCCCGTCGGTTGCGAATACCCCTGTTAGTCTGTCCAGTTCTGCATAATCCAGTAATTTCGTTCTCCATTCTTCAATCGTGGGCATTTCTTCTTGTTTCCATTTCTGGGCCACCAGAGTTCTAGCTGCTGTTACTGCATACAAAAATACTTTCTGGTCCTTCCTTTTTATCTCACCACCTAAAATTCCTAATAGGAATGCTTCTGGTTTTTAAGAAATGTATATTTCAATATTTTCTTTATCTCATTATATATCATTTCCCAGAAGCACTTCATTTTTACATTCCCACCACATATGATAAAATGTCCCTTCTTTCTCCTTACATTTCCAACATTTATTACTCACCTTATACATCTTACTTAATTTGACTGGTGTTATATACCATCGATATATCATTTTCATAACATTTTCTTTAATTGTGGTGCATGCTGTAAATCTCATCCCTTCCTTCCATAATTTTATCCAATCATCAAATTGAATGTTATGTCCAAAATCTTTGGCCCATTGAATCATAACTGATTTAACCTCTTCATCCTTCAAATGCCATTCTAATAATAATTTATACATCATAGATAAATTTTTAACTTCATTATTCAATACTTCTCGTTGAAACCTAGATTCTTTTTCAAAATAGCCTCTTTCTGCAACCTCTTTTCTAAACATTTCATTAATCTGAAAGTAATGCAGCCAATCATTTACATGTTCTTTCACTTCTTGGCAGGAATACTTTCATGTAGGTTCACAGATCCTCACTCTGTCTAGCAGCGAACTTGAGCAGTTAAGTGCTGCCGATCCATTTGGAAGTGAGGAGTCTGCACCAAAAAACAAGGGAATGGTTTCTACATACTTGGGAACTCATTGAATATGTTGAAATATAAAGAATGTATGGGGAACCTTTTCCCTCTGGATGTTTCTGAACAATTCCCGTCATCCCTGACCATTGGACTTGCACGCTTGAGCTGGAGAGAGTTGGAGATCAGCAACATCTGGAGGGCCTAAGATTTCCTATCCATGGTACAAAGTGTGTAATTTAAAAGAAAATGTGTGGGGGTTTTTTAATGGCAAGAACTGCTTTACAAGAACCTGTAAATTTACAGAAGGTTGATGGCTGTTGAATGCACAGACTGGTGACACAGGGAATAGCTGTCAACTGTCCCTTATTTGGCGGGAAAGTCCCTTATCCCAGCGCCGTGTCCCACTGCTGTCCCTTATTGATGATGTCCCTTAAATTTCCCGGGTTTCAAAGGAAGCAGCTCCTCTCCCTCCCTCCCTGCCGGCCAGGGAGGAGGGAGGCTCCAACTGTGTTGCTTGGCTGCGTTGCTCACCCAATAAGGAATCTAAGAACGACTGGGGGTGGAGCTTGCATGCCTTGTGCCGATCAAATCGGCCGCGTTGCCTGGGGACTCGCCTTTGCTCAGCGCTTCCCAGCGGAGAGGTGACGGTGGTTTTCCTTGCTGCATCCCCTTTGCCGGGTTGCTACGCTGTGCGAACCACCGCTTGAGGCTTCGTTTGGCTGCTGGCTGGGCTTTCTGCCTTTGGCTTGGAGGGGCTCAGAAGTTGAACATACCTGTGCTGGGAAAATCCCTTATTTTGGCTGCTGATCCCTTATTTTCGAGGCAGCTGGTCCCTTATTTTCAAATCTGTAAGTTGACAGCTATGACACAGGGAGAGGAGGTTTCCTAAAGCAATGGTGTCATTATTCCTAACTTTGGTCATGATGGCTGGGGACTTATGGAAGCTGGAGCCCAACAACATCTATAGGGACAGACTGTTAAATAAACAGTTGGGAGCAGTAGGAGACACAGAATATTCATGTGTCAGCCGAAAACAGCTGCCCCTCTTCTGTCTCTGAAAAAAAGGGAAAACTGGAGGGCAGGAAAAGAGAGGGAAGCGACCTGTTCAAGTCCCTGGTGGCTTAAAGTAAGAATCCAGGAGTGAGGATTAGGGATGGGCAGTGTGGTTGGAAGCTATTACCAATAAATGAATAGATTTTTTTTTCATAAGCAAGTTCCAATGTATTCAAGGGAGTTTACAGCCCAGTGTGTTTCAGTTTACAATGTAGCACTGCAATCCTGGAAGTGTCTACTCCAAAGTAAGTCCCACTGAGTTCAGCAGGACTTACTCCCAGTTAAGGATGTGTAGGATTGCAGCTGCAACCAACAAAACATATCTGGTTTTATGAATCAGAAAGAAACTCTGATGCAAACAAGACATTGGTTCTTTGACATAGTACAACGAAAACATATTTTCATCATATGAAACCATAATAAAGTGAATTAAGTTCACATACATCAAATTCTGAGTGGAGACAGAAATGGCATTTCCTCCCCAAATTCAGCAAAGCTGAAGTACCTCCAATACATGTGGTACTTGTACAGCTATGGCTATTTTCAATTAATCACTCATGCCTCGAGGCACTCTAGATGTAGGGTATTAATTCAAATAAACAACGATAGAATAAGTCTCTGTGCTATAAGAAATCTCTGTGCTACTAAATATCTGTACAAGGTACATAAATGTAATAGGTCTTACCTACAGAAGAGGAGTAGCTTTTCTCCTCTTATTATTATTCTGTGTATGATTACATCTGGGCATTTATCTTCAACCTCAGACCCAGAGACTGAATATAGCCTCCCAGACCTCTCCGTCAGGCTGTAAGAGTTCTCCCCAGGCCACACCATTCACTGGTCCTGCTTCATGCCCCCAAAGATTTTGCCTGGGTAGAACTCCGGTAATGCCCTTGCTTGCCTAGATGGACAGAAAGCAGTGTGTGTAATAATAATCTATTTATACACACACACACACACACACACACACACACACCCTGCCCATCTGGCTGGGTTTCCCCAGCCACTCTGGGCGGCTTCCAACAAAATATTAAAATACAATAGGCTGGTGTAGAAACCAGCCTATTGTAGCAAGGTGGGTTTTAAATGTTGCTCCACCCACTTTTGCCTCTGGCCCCGCCCACCACTGACATGTGGGAATATAACGTTTGGGCTGAAAAGGGTTCCTCAACCCTGACCTACAGCATATCACACAATCACAATGATAACAACTTCCTGCTCTTTCCACACATACCCAGCACCCACAGTTTTCATCCTTGTGACTTTACCAGCACCTCTTGAATTGCAAACCTCACCATCTTATTTTCAAATGCTATACAAAAAGACTTGCACAGATTACATTGATTGGACCTTTTCCCACCAAAGGAAGTGAAAAATGACTTTTCAGATGGAGCTGTTAATGTGACTTTTATCCACAGTTGTGTGTCTTACTCATTCTGGATCTATTTGGCCCCAAAACGTATCAAGGATCTAATGTATTATGCATTGGGAAGCCATAAGCACATTACATGTGAGATGTAATTTGTATGATATGTAGCAGGCCAATGGACTATGGCAGATAGGGATGCTATATTTCTTTACTGTCACTCTGGTGCTTTTCTTCTAGAATGCTATAAATGATGTGCCCTGCCCTGCCCACCCCCAAAACACCCTGTTTGAGAGCTTTCTGTTGGCTGCAGCTGCTGGCAGCTTCCATTTGTCATTTGGATGAGCATATTGGATTGGTTCTTGTAAGTGAGATCGCCTACCAATAGCAAAGTTTTTCCATCAACAGTGGAGCTCGCCTGACAGTAGAGGCCTGCAGAGGCCAGCAAGACTAGGCAGAGGGACACCTCCAACACAGCAGTTCAGGGGTTTGCGTATGTATTTGACCAGAATGAGACTACTGTAATGTATTTAACTAATCTGATAAGTTTTGTATCAACAGTGATAAAGGCATGAAAATAAACAGTGCTGGTGCTGCAACTTCAGAATTCATTCTCAAGTCACAAATTAGGGGAAAGAGACCCAGGGAAGGTCCTGTGTCCTGCATGTAGTTTTCTATTTCTAATAAGTGAAGGAGCAAATGATCATATATTGTAGTTACTTACAGGATGTCGCGAGGATAAGCCTCCTCCTCTTTCCCACAGCTCTGATCCTCATGTCATCCTTGCCCTTGCAAAGCACAACAAAGAGGAGAAAAATATAATTAGTGCAGAGGCCCTGATCATGCTCCCGAGTCCAGTGCAAAGACCTTTTCCTCCCACATGAAATAAAAGCCAGCTGTTTTCATGGTAGAGAAGTAATCTTCTCACAGACTGCTGTGGTGTGTACTCCACAAATCTGTATATGAATGGAAGAGAATTCAGGGCAGAAGCAATCTACAGCCAGAAGCACATCTACAAGCTGCCCTAATAATATAGCTTTTATATGCTTCCATCATTCCAGTTATACAATGAAATAAATAGCATTCAAATCCATAGTCAAACAAGCGTTATTAAAAACTCTGTGGGAAAGAGGACAAAAAGCTAAAGGGAACTAATAGAAGAACAGCAAAGCACTTGAAAGAAAAAAGGGTATTCCAACCAAGGAGGGGGTAACATAGAGAGGAGTGGGGAGATGGAGAAATATTTCCTTAGATAGTGAGCTTTTGCCATATTGAGGTTTTCAGCAACTCACACCAGCCCCCAGGCAGTTGTGCTGGCTAGCAGTTGATGGGAGTTGTAGTCCAAAACAGCTGGAGGGCACTAGGCTGGCAAAATCAGGTTTGATTTGTTCCAGCGTCTGGGAGAATGTATAGATTCCTGAGGAAATTGGAGTTGTGATTCCTTTCCACAAACTTGTTAAACTGATCAGCATCAGTATGTATGCAACAACAGCAGCAAGAATACTCATCGCAAAGTATTGGAAGACACAAGAACTTCCCACGCTGGAGGAATGGCAGATGAAACTTATGGACTATATGGAATTGGCGGAAATGACTGGCAGAATCCGTGACCCGGGAGAAGAGTCGATGGAGGAAGACTGGAAGAAATTCAAAGACTATCTTCAGAAACACTGCAAAATTAAGGAATGTTAGAGTGATGTTGGATTGAAAATAAGTGGTTTCCAGCTGTACAGGTTAAAGTTAAGGATAGATTAAGATTTAAGATCAAGATTAAAGATGTTTAAAGAAATGGAAATTTGATAATAAAGGGAAAAATTTAAAGGTATATGACATTAAGAACAAGGATTAGGTTTAAAAAAGTTGAAGTTATATATTTTAATATTTTATTAAATTAAAGATTGGGTTTAAAAAAAGTGGAAAAGAAACTGCTGGACAAATAATGTAGATTGGAATACAAAAGAGGGAGGTATGAGGAAGTCCAGAAAATAAGTAATTTAAAATTGGGAATGGAAAGAGAGTTTGTTTTTAATTGTTATGTTTTGTGTTTTTATTGTTAAATTTTGTATTGTTTTTCTGTGTGTGTTGTTTTTTCTTTTTTCTTTGTTTAAAACTTTTATAAAAATTATTTAAAAAAAAAAATAAACTGATCAGCATCAGTCACAGTTTCTATCTCAGTTCTTACCATCTCCGAAAACCACCCGCCAGATACCCCACATTTCCAGTTTCATTATTGGGTGACATCTGGAATCCATTTAGGGGTTTTTGTTGTTGTTGTTTTCATTTCTAGTTATCTTCACAGGGCATGAATGAAAAAAGTCACTATCGGTTGAAAATAAGCCTTAAAAATACACGTGAAATACTGAAGAAATAAATGAGCTCAAAATGCTACCTGCCTACTCAATTGAAAGCAATGTATGTTTTGATTTGAGCCAGAGTCCTGGTTTGTGAGATGAGGCCAGAGCCTGCCCAATACGTTTTCAGGTTGAAGAGCAAATGGTGCCTTCCCAAAATCAATGTATTTAGTACCCAAGGCTGCCAGATTATATTGGTATTTAGGGCTAGAAAATGGTTAGAAAATGTTGCAGCAACTGGACATGGGGTAGGGGTTAATTTCGCTCATGAGGATAAATCATCCCATGGATGATTCTAAGCCAATAGGCACATGGTCAGCCAAACCAGTTGCTATGGCAACAGCCCAGTGCTGACTATATAAGTGATTAAGCCATGTCAGTCTGTCCTGGAGTTACTGAATCTGTCTGGAAGTGTCCGGAGTCTGTGAATCAGAGTCTGTGTTGCATCTTGAATTGCTGGAGCAACTGAGAAACTTTGTACTTGTAAATATCTGTATCTACAAAGGCCAATATGTATGCATCTCCATCTGGAACTGTTTTACTGAAGCCTTTTCTTCTGCAACAGTTAACTATTTGGACCTTAAGGTGCCTCTGTGTGGTGATTGGAACTGGGGGCAACTTCCACTGACTGGGTATCTCACCTCAGATTCCCAGCAGAAAACCCCCACAGCATTAAAACATTTTAAAATTAACAATTTGCTGCCCTTTCATAACCCAAAGCACATGTTTTAAAATCATGAAGGAGCAGCAGAATCCCAAATCAAATAATAGGCAGCCCAAATGGCCGCTGAAATGGTCTGCTCACCAAAAACAAATAGCGATGAGGCTGGATGGGCTTCTCATGTAAGAAATTTCACAGTTTAGATGCCATGACTGAAAAGCCTTTGTCAGAGTGTTGGGCTAGGACCTGAGAGACTTGTTTTCAAATTCCCACTCAGCGATAAAGTTCACCAGGTGACCATGGGTCAGTCTCTGTCTCTCAGGCTAACATACCTCACAGGGTTGTTGCGAGGATAAAGTGTCTGGCCCCTTGAGTTCCTTGAAAGAGAGGTGGGATATAAATGTAATTTTTAAAGTGCTTATAAATGACATTTTCCTCTCCCTTTAACAAACCCATCTTCAGTTCATTTTCTGATGGACCATGTTTAAGCAACTTTTTGTTTCTTTTTCCTTTTAAAAATACATTTCAGATCTGAGGGCTGCTTCCCAAGAAATAGCATACATAATATATTTAACACCCACTGACTTCAGTGTGAGTTTGTTTTTCAGATTCTTAGGAAATAAAGTAAATGAAGTAAATATTATTCTATCCAATATTGCATGAAATTACATAATCCTCGGAGCAAGAAGTGGTTCCCAGACTTATCTGAACTATAACACTGAAAAAGAAAAGCATGGATATTTCCCAAAATAAACTGTCTTACGTAGCTAGTTTGCTGTAACAGAACTTTGGCATTGTCTGCAATTGCATGTACTGAGCACCAATGCTGAACTAAAACATGAGTAGTGCACATTTAATCTGTGTTACTTACTAAAAAATCAGGACATAGATGCTGATACCATGTTACCAGCTTTGAATGAGTGCTGATAATAGATCTCCACAAGACTTGTTTTCTACTCCAGCATTAATTAAGGGTCAAACTACACACAAAACGCATACATTCTGTGGTTGGAGCCCCACACATCTTTTTATACAGCAACTAACAGACACAAGGTGTTAGTGGGATCAGAACACAGCATTAGGGAATGGGACACTATCTTCTTGCCCCCAGTGCTGTGACCTAGTACACACCCCAACACTAAGCTGCTATGAGTCATGAGGGAATTATTATGCCCTCTGAGAGGACATGCCAGGGGGCTCAGCATACATCAGAACCCTTTTCCAGACATTAGGAGGGGAGATCAGTTGTCATATTCCCACTTCTCCACTATCATGGTAGCAAACCTATGGTCCCTGGGAGGGTGTCTCAGAAGCTGTCAGATCAGGTATATCTGATCTCCCACTCCAGCACTGGAGGAGGCGGATCCAATGATGGCTTCTCCTTTCTACCACTGTGGCAATGCCTGTGGTCCTGCTGATGTCGGAGCTCCAATATAAGGCCAAAAAGGAGGTCTGCCAGGGACCATTTGGGGGAATGCTGGGATTGGACTGGAAAAGATCCATAGCCTTCTCTGCTACTCACCCCCCGCACCTCCATACACAAAAATACACACACATTTGCAAACTGGGAAGAACTGCCATAACTCTCAGGAGCTAACACACACACACACACACACACTAAGTTAAAGCACAGAGGAGTGCAAGAAGGCTCCTCTGACTTTATTTCTGACCTCATGCTGCAAGTGTTGGGTGGCGGCAGTTAACTACTTGTGGTCCGTCCCCCCCCCCCACTTTAGGACCACAGCCTCAAGATTTCAGTATCCCCACCTCAGCTAATAGTAGATTGGAAGGGACATGGACCAGTGTCACTGTATAGGTGCAGAGCTTTAGACCTTCTCTCCATAATGTACATTTATATTTTTTTGTTCATATTAACCAGCCTTCATCGAAAAATTCTAGGATTGTGTACAAAAGTGTGACTAAAAACTAATTCATACACAACCCAGAAATACAATTTAAGCCCAAATATAAATGTAACAAAATACAAGAAGACAAAAATTGATTAAACCGAAGCAACCAAAGAGCAAATTAGAACAAACAAAACAAAAATCTATAGAGCTGAAATGACCCAATTATCCGTCTCTGCAGCCAGCTGTTTTTGGAATAGAAAGAAGTATTTTCCATTATGGGAGAACTGCACTGGGAGGGCAGGATTGCCAAAGATCAAGTGGAGGTGAATTTATCAGTGCAACTCAAGTTCACACGACCGTCCTCCTCCAATGCTTCCATTCCATTGCACCACCCCTCTCCTCTGCCACTTGTCCCTATACCAGGCCTTTCTTGAAGATTCCTTGGATCCCAGGAGACACTTTCAGAGAAACTATAGTGAGGAATGGCAGGCCAAAATTCCCAATTGTGTGAGACTTTCTGTTTGCATTACCTTGGGAAACAAGCCCATACCTTTTCATCCCAATTTCTAGCAGTCAAATGTGCATATTGCACATGATGTGCTACTGGACAATTGGAGTATCCTAACTGTGGTATTTGATCTGTGATAGTTCTTTCATATGTATACAGCTCATGAGATGACGAACATACATTTGTGAACAATTCCACAGACACTTGACTAACCAAAGACAAGCCTGTATGCTAATTGCTCATGATGAGCTGCAATTTCAGATCTGGTTTTATGAATTGTCTTATGAAATATGACTATCACATGGACAACCATATTTTAAGCTGGGACATTTCTGTCATGAAATAATTTAATTCTTGTATTTCTATGGAATTATGCACATATATAAATCATATAACATTCTTCAAACATTTCATTTTTTAAATGTGTTTCTTGTATGCTGCTGTTAAATGTGACCCTTTTAAAATTAAAAATGTCATAAATACTTGGAGCTAGGTAAAAGCTGTGTTTCTCAGCAGCCAAATATACTGGTTTGTAAAGCAATTACTGTTCTAATGCCATGTGCACATTAATTGCCTGGAATAAATCGTTGAACACTACTGTAGAAAACTTTTAGTTTATTATTATACACACAAAGCTGTTTTCTACTTTTAGCCGCATCTTGGAGAGGCAACAAATTTACAGAATGCAGCCTACTAAAAACTGCTTTTAAGAGGAAGGGAAATGAAATTTATATTAGGAAGAGGAGGAGGAGAAATGAGTGGTGGCATTGTAATAAAAATTAAATGCAGTTCAATTTGCTTTTAATTTAGCAGATGCCTTAAGAATGCCATGCTCAAACTTAGGAAAAATAATAACTGGCATTAATTGTACAATACAGGAGTATACAAAACAAGCTGTTCTCATACTCATTATGGTTTAATAAGATATAAGTGCATACTGATGAGAAATATTCAAACACACATACACACACCAAATCAAGGATTCCTCTTAGGTATGTTCAATTTGCATAAAATTAATATTTATAACTACACATATTTTATTTGCATGATTTTACAACTGCAGTTCTATACACCTCAAATAAACTCCTATTGAACTCAGCGATGTTATTTTTGAATAGTGGTTACATACAAATGACATTTTATCCTTGAATCAATGGAAACTGAGTACTTGTTTTTCTAGATTGTAGTCCATACAAAATCTAGATCTATTACATATTTTTTGTCCCTGAAAAACACTTCTTGAGAAACTGGTTTCATTCTGAAAATAAAAGCTAATTGCAGATTGATCCTGCATCACCTCACAGTGTATTCATTGAAAAACAGATTTAAGTGGTCACAGTAATGGGGGTTGTATCCACACCTGCCCAGTGACACTGTGGGTGGGTATATACCAGGCAGGTTCAAAGTCCAGCCCGGGGGCCATTTGCAGCCCCCGGGATGGTTTCAAATGGCCCCCCAGCCAATTTTGAAAAAGCAGTCTCTTGTGGCCCCCAAGCGCCTGCCCACCAAAGCCATTTCCTTTTTGCAGGCTCGTCACAAGCTCTCCCCTCTGCGCGGGGTGTGTGGCTAGCCCCCATGCCATTAGGGAGTCCCTGGCTGCATCACTCCTTGGGTCAACCAATCTGGCCGGCCGGGGGGTGGCAGCTAAATAAATAAATAAATACTACAGTACACGTTCGGGATGTTGATGCTGCAGTGATGGCGGTGGCGGAGGGACGGCCGCCGCCTTGACCCAGTGCCGGGTTTATGTATAGGCTAAGTAGGCTGAAACTGAGGGCCTCTAAATCTAGGGTGCCTCGCCAGCCCGTCTGCTCCCCAGTGGGCAGTCTTCCCTCTCTCAAAATTGCAAACCCAAGACTTCATGCAAGGGCAGGGCAACTCAGGCCCAGCAACTATGAGACTCAGGGCTGGCCAGTGGGGCCCAATTTGAAGCACTGGGGCGCAACTTAAATTTTTCTTTTGTAGGGCCCCAGATCACAGCCAAAGTCTGCAAAATGTTATAGATATAAATAAAATCCATCTAGATTGCCCTGGTGCAGGGGCCCCGTTAGGAGTGGCACGTGGGGCCCAATTTGGCCAAATTGCTCCAATTGCCTTAAGGTCAGCCCTGATGAGACTATGCAGGGGTTGGACTGACAAGCCCTGCACCTTCTGCACCTGGTGTCACTATTCAGAGTACAGACTCAAGGACTTGTTATAGAAATAAGGGGGGGGGCACTTATTGGAAATCAGTTTTGTCATCTCTTCCCCCCCCAAACCACAAAACAATGAGCCCAGTCACCTTTTATTCACAGTCACATAAGCACTATACTACAGCATGGCCATAAACCTGTACGTTCAATTGCTGAAATATACACCCAATATATAGCAATGGAGATTTATGTTACTGCTTTATGAATCAACACTGTGTTTTATGAATGGACTCTGTATTTTGTGAATTACCTAAGAGCCACCAATAGGGAGCTCTAGAATCTGACAGCTAACCAATTGGGTTCTACCAAAGAGCGACCCCTATTGCTGAAAGCAGTTAACCAGCAGGGAATGCTTCAGCTCAGCCTTTGCACTGTTGACTGAACACCCCCTGCTGTGCAGATAATGGAGAGAGCTCGTAAATTGTATCCCTTCTAGCATCCTGACCAACTCTATTACGCTGGTGTAAACCCTAGTGCACCAGAAGCCCAGAATAGCAGAAAATAAAATCCACTCATACGTCAGCGACTGATAAGACTTGTCAACCAGTTCTTCCAAAGTCTTCCTAAATTATAAAGCTCCAAAATACGGGCCAAAAGAGAGCAGGTCTGGGAAGAGCGAGGCATACAATGGGCACCACTTGTGGCCTGCCCAATTTGAATTGAAATGTTGACGAAGGGCATGAATATTGAGCAAAACTGCATTTTTGTACTACAAACTGGCTAGTGGGTGTACAGCCTGCATTATATGTGTCATCCTTTCACAATCTTTGATTCAGAAATAGCCCAACTTTTAATTCTGAAAGTCGTTTGTGATCTTTATCACGTTTGCCTTTTTATTGTATAAAAATAGAACAATCTGTGTCCACAGAGCTCATGGTAAAGAAGCACTTGAGATATATTACATAATAATCATTTTAAATCTGCAAGTTGCATGGAAGCAGCAAGTGCAGCAGTTATATAACAAATTTCTCTCAATGCGAGAACTAACACAGTATCTATAGTGGCATGTCCTGTGCTATCAAATTTGGTTCATACCTCAGTTCAGTCAGAAGTAGATTTAAGGGAGCAAAACTGGTTCAGTCACACTGATGTGGAGCCTCGGGGGCACTTCAGGAGTGCTGCAACTATGATGTAAAATGGAAGGCGAGAGGTGGGGGTGACTAATTTTGGCTTTGCACAGGGAGCTGCTGAAATTTGAGACTCCAAGGTCTGCCACTGCTTCAGTAGTCTCCACTGAGCCAATGGATCATCCCTGGTACTGGCCTGGGGACACAGTCAGGACCATAATGCTCGAAGCCAGTTCCACAGCACTTGTGGGCTTAATATACAAACAGTTAACGCAGCATTTAGGAAGTGATGCATAGACAAAATCATTTGCAGAATTAGGAGCCAAGAGAAAACATTGCAAAGAACTCAGATAACATGGTGATGAATGCAGCACATGAAAGTAAATCAATAGATATACAGCAGTAGAAATAAGCCCATTACCTTCAATATAATGGTAACTACTGCAAAATGTTCAAAGCTGCAGTGCTAGTCATTTTCAGATGGAGAGAAAGGACCCATCAGCAGGGTATGGAAACAGAGTGCATGTGTCAATAGGCTGCTCCTAAGACACCATACCAGTTCTGTCAGGGACTTAGGGAGAAACTATACATCATCTATATTTTTATCTATACCTACCTATCTGTGTGATGTGTTTTGTGTGTGTGTGCATGTGCGTGTGTGAATGCATGCATGTATGGATGTGTGAAATTGTATGTGGGACCAGAGCATTCAGCATACATGGAGGGTGGATTTAACCCTTTCCTGTCTCACTGCAGTCCTGAGAAAAACTCCTCTTCTGACACTGGAGAGAAAGCACTCTCTCTCCCACATTGTTGCCCCACAATGCACCTGCTGTTATGACTGAGTGGTTAGGAAACAGCTATGTTGATTTTAATTCCAGAAATGGCCTCTCTCCTGCCCTGTACAAAACATGTTTTTGAGGCACGCTAATGGTGAGTCGACATCTTCACTGCTTCCACTGATGGGGATCAAGCCCCCATCTCCTGCTTCTCAACCCTATGCAGTAAGCCACTAGAGGTTGTTGCTATATGTGTGGCTGGCCCTGTTTCATGTTCTGTCCTCTCCTCTTGGCTATTCTGCAAAAGAGTTTCCCCCCTACCCAGGTGGATGGGTACCATGCAGTGTGCCTTCTCCTTCCTCTCCTTTTTATGTTGCACTTCAAAAACTGTTGAGTTATGAAGATATTTAGACACCTGATAGCAGGTATGGTTGGGGACTGCCAGTAGCAGGACTACTGCTAGCTGTGCCGCTGAGCCTGATGGCCTGGGAAGTGTTATGATACTGTCTTGCATATTGAATTTGGAGGCATGTCCCATCATTGTGAGTACACTGGATCCCTCATGTTTCCAGCACAGGCTCTAATTGGTGAGTGATGAAAGTGTTTCAAAGAAACAGGGCTGACTCCAGGTTTTTGAGAGCCCTTGGGTGAGACAGCCTCCACATACCCCCTCAGTTAAGTCTACCTCCTCACTACCTTTACCTTCTCCCACTGCCCCTCATCTCCCTCATCATTGCCGGTACCTGCTAGCTTGCCAGGCAGAGAACCAAGAAGGAAGCAGGCAGTGAAATCTACTGCTACTCCTTCTCACCACCACTATTGTTTGGGCTGACAACAAGAGGTTGCACGGATTGTTTGGGCTGACCAAGGAGGTTGCACTGATAAAAAGAGGAGAAGCAGGTCACTCTTGGAAGTGAGACATTATTGGATGTAGTTTCTCAACAAATACTCCACCAAGGTGACCCCGCCAGAGATGCTGAGGTTATGGCTGTGTAAAGGGCGCTTCCCAGCCAAGGAATGCACATGGCAGACACTTGGGCATTTATTGTCAAAGATAACACTTACAGTTGGTTTTACAGCTCTAGGTATCTCTGCACACCAATCCAATAGCTAGGCAGCTATTCCCAGGTCTGTGCTCTATGGAGCAGCTGCAGCAACAGGGGACCGCTCCCCCTCTACCAGCTTCTGTACCTTCCCCCAATAGACTGTGTGCACACAATCAGAGACTGCATCTGCCTAAAACGTCCTCTGCTCCTCCCTTTTCAATTTCCACCCTGGTTCTGGGAGACAGTGGTGCAGGAAAGGATAGGAAGCGCATGGCCCTTCCCTTGCCTGACCTGCCTCTTCCTCTTCTTCTGACACATCCTGTGCTCCACCTGCCAGCTCTGAAGCTTCCCATGCCTCTGATTATTTCCTCCTGGCTGGTACAGGTCTCCACAAACTACTGCCCCCCTCTCCCGAGTCAGACTCCAGTCACCCTGCCCCCGGCACATACTTGTCAGCGGCCTGCCCGTCCCTGACAGTCTGTTAGTTGGTTCAAATACCTGCTTGCCCCTGAAGCTCACTGGGTGTCCTTGGGCCAGTCATTTCTTCTCAGCCTAACATACATCACAGGGTTTTTACAGGGATTAAATGAGAAGAACCATGTATCCCAGCTTGAGCTCCTTGGAGAAAAAGGTAGGAAATAAATGCAGTAAATAAATAATTTTTATGTATCGGTTTTCACGAGTTGGAATATATACTGTGTATTTTTGTATTTTCTGTTTTGTGCATTCCCCCTCCCTTTCCTAGACTGAGCATGGATTGAATACAGTGGCCGTTCCACCAGCACAGCAGCAGCATATCTCTGTACCCAACATAAAGGGAGTATAGAATTGCTTTCCTGAAGTCTTATTAGAAAGCAAAAGATAACCACAAAGTGCAAACCCAGTTTTATGTTCATGTTGCAGTTGTAAAGGTCATTGTGATACACAGTATAGATTACAGTTCACAAAAAGCCAATACATAAAAATATATTGCTTTTGCTCAGTAAAAGAAGCTTGCCATTTAAAATAAAATAAAATGCTAGGACTCTGCAAAGTCTGCAAACAAATGTTTTGAGAATGTATAACATCTTTATCTGAATAATGTTACAGTCTAATAGCTCTATTATCTAAGGAAGATTTTGTTTATCTGGCAGAAATTAAGTGAAAATAGAGAGATTTTCATCAGCCAGCATGTTTTGGGTTTACAGTAAGCACGTACAACATAACAATGCCACTGATGTAGTCATTAAAACGTTCAGAGTTCTTGGATGCCAAAGAAGAGCTCTTAATAAGCAGAATATGCAATATTGATACTGCTTTATGGATAATTTCAGTCTAGACATAGGAACTAGAAAGTGAAGGGGCATTACTAAAAGTGTTGCCTCTATGCAGAAAGCAGTAAGGCAGTACAGAAACAAAAATAAGCAAAAAACAATTAGATGTTGTCATGTCCATTTTGCGATGAAGCAATGGACATGTTCATTCTTTATCTGGCCTCTGAACCTGGAGGGTACACAGAATAATAGAATTACAGCCACTTAAAAAAACAACAACTATCCACCATGGGTTTATCCAGTTACCTTCTCATGCTAGTCAAGTTGGTGGACATCGCCACATCTGGTGTTTATGGGTAGTGAATTAGTGGTTCACAGTTGTGACCCTATATCTGGTGAAACACATTCTGCCAATATAACAAGGTGAGAGAATAGGCTTTATGGCTTATAGTTGTAAAATAGCTCAACATCTTGATTTACTGCTCAGTAAACTTTGCCACTCGGATGGCGCTGTGGTCTAAACCACAGAGTCTAGGACTTGCTGATCAGAAGGTTGATCAGAAGGTCAGCGGTTTGAATCCCCGCGACTGGGTGAGCTCCCATTGCTTGGTCCCTGCTCCTGCCAACCTAGCACTTCAAAAGCACGTCAAAGTGCAAGTAGATAAATAGGTACCGCTCCGGTGGGAAGGTAAACGGTGTTTCCGTGCGCTGCTCTGGTTCACCAGAAGCAGCTTAGTCATGCTGGCCACATGACCCGGAAACTGTCTGTGGATGAACGTCAGCTCCCTTGGCCAGTAAAGCGAGATGAGCGCCGCAACCCAGAGTCGTCCGCAACTAGACTTAATGGTCGGGGTCCCTTTAACTTTAAACTTGGCAGTGTAGGAGAGAATGGTCCAGGTTGAATCTGGAGTAGAATAGATTTTTTAAAATGGCTTATCTTGAATGAGTTAAATCTTTTACAAGTGAGTTCAGCATTTTGACGGCTTTCCCACCTCCTTACAATTTGTCAAGGTTGAAGTTTCCAAGAAGATTTCTCTACATGTAATGCATATTTGGGGAAATGGTTTGTCGTGAGAGGCAGGAGCAGCCTGCAGGGCAGCAGCATGGAGCCAACCTCTCAGCATCAGCATCGCTGCTGCTTACTTGGGCAAAGGAGGGTGACAGCTTGGTCTGGGCAGCACAGGTATATTCTGACGGAGCCTATCTGATACTCCCACTGGGGCACCTGCTTCACCACGTACTTGCTGCCAGCACTCTATCCCCCATCCTATCCCAGTAACCAGCTGGCCAGTCCTTGGTGATAAGTCAAGGGGAATGTCTAGTAAATGAGTACTTGTAATGCAGAATTGCTTACATAGAATCATAGAAGTTTAGAGTTGGAACAAAACCCAAGGGCCATTGAGTTCAAGCCCCTGCAATGCAGGAATCACAGCTAAAGAAAGCCTGACAGATAGCTGCCCAACTTATTTCAAAGCCTCCAATGAAGGAGAGTCTACCACCTTCTGAGGCAGTCTGTTCCACCACTGAACAGCTCTTGCTGTCTGAAAATTCTTCCTAATGTTTAGTTGGAATCTCCTTTATTGTAATTTGAATCCATTGGCTTGAGTCCTACCCTCTGGAGCAGCAGAAAATAAGCCTGCTTCATCTTCCATGTTGCAGCCCTTCAGATATTTGAAGATGGCATTCATATCACCTCTCAGACTTCTCTTCTCCAGGTGAAGCATACCTAACTCCCTCAACTGTTCCCCAGGCTTCGTTTCCAGACCCTTGGTTACCCTCCGCTGCACATGTTCCACATGATAGCTTTAGTTGCCTAGAGCGGTCTTCATGAAGTTTAATTCAAATTAGGCCTACTGAAATTAATTAACATGACTAAGTTGGGCCACTATTTTAAATGGAACTACTCTAAGTAAAACTTACTTGAATATTCTGTGCATCTATGGTCGTAAACAGACCAATTTGGAACTTAGGTCTATCCTTCTCCCATTGACAGCTACCCAGCTCCAAGATACTGGTGGCGCTTGAACTAACTACAGCACTGGATGCCATACCATATTGCCTAAATAACTCATCTGTTAAGGGCATGGCTCTTATTCCCAGCATTTTGGAGGTTGGGTGAAAACCATTAACACAAGACATTAAACTGAAACAATTTTTTGTTAACTGAATTTAATTATGCACTGTGTGAAGTAGTATTTTATACCCCGCCCATCTGGCTGGGTTTCCCCAACCACTCTGGGTGGCTTACAGCTGATATTCAGTGCCATTGGATTACCCTAGTATTAGGAAAGAGGGGGGCAGGGACTCATTCCATGTAATGCTTAATTCAATAAACATTTATCATGTTCCCCCATTATTTACCTTTCCCCCCAAAGAGTTCCTCACTTTGAAACCTTGCTTCGTGTGGAATTATTCCACCTCCCAGTCATTTTGGTTACCCCTTACTACATATTTTTCAGATCCACAATATCTTTTTTTTTTTTTTATGTGCCAAACATAGCATTCCAAGTGCAACCACACCATAGATCTACTATAAAGGCATTAACAATATTAGCAGTTTTATCTTCTATCTTTTTTCTGTTTATCTTTTCTCTCTCTAAATATGCCCTTATCAGTGACTAAAACCAAGCTATACAATACATAAGTTACATTCTTTTTAAAGTATGTTTAAATTGGTCACTTATAACCACCCACTATTTGTCCCTGAAGGTACCATTTGCACTTTTTGGAAGGAAATCAGCATGAGCCTCTGATCTAGAACACATTCTGGAATAGGAAGCCTGTGACCACTTTAATGTCAAGTTATCAGTTTAAGCATGAAAAGGAAGGAAGGAAGGAAGGAAGGAAGATGTAAGACATAATTTGGCCTTCAGTGGACATTAGATGGCGGGTTTTGCAAACCCAACTCTAGTCACTACACTACTCTGGCTCCAACGAATGATGAATTGAGGAGCCAGCATCTTTCATAGCTCATGAATTTTATGTCTAGTGTAGTAACCAAGCTGAGTGTGTTCCTCTTGTGCCAACAGATGACAATCTGTCTTCTTTAGCCACGCTGACTTTTTGTGGGTTTATTCTTTCTTCATTAGACCAAACAACAGCATAAACTAAAATGGACCAAAACACTGACTGAAGCATAGATTTACATTGTTCATCTGAAAATAGGCTGTTCCCCCACAGTTATTGTTAAGTGATGAAGTGGGTTGCAATGTTGAATATACTTACAAACGAATAATGAAATGTGAAAGCTGTTCCTTTTTACCCTGGGAAATCATAAAAATTTAATGAGAAGGAACTGAATTCCTGTATCTGTGCAAAATGAATCTAGTGTTGTTATAATAACAGTTGCCCATTGTGTGTTAAACAGTGCATGCCTTATATTCTTTATGCCACACCACTTTTGATTCTGTTATCTGGCAATACCTATCATGTTTCACATAAGCTTATGATGTTCTGGGGAGCAGGCGGGAAGAGGGGGAAGTATATAGGCAATACAAGAGTCCTAAAACTTTAAAGGTACAGTCCTGCACAACTACCTAGATATGGGTATATCTATCTATTCTGACTTCTCTGTTTATCATTTTTCTTATATTAAAATCAGTTCATCACATTTACACAGCAGTTTGCATTTTTTTTTAAAAGTCCTCACTAAAACTCACCATTATTTCCATGTGTTTCTCCTAATATATACATTTTGAAAGTATTTATCCCTAATGTTGTTCCTGTTTTATGCTATTTTCACAAATATGTGATTTTTAAATGCACCATTTTTTTGTGTCACAAAATTCAGAGCACTGCAAATTTCAAAAAATAGCTGTGTTTCAGTTCACCTATTATTTCGGGAACTGCAAATTTGGTAGGAACATTCAATACAAACCAAGCCAGATTTCTCCCTCATCCATGTGTTTACCTGGGAATAAGCCTCCCTGAACTCAGGGAGGCTTAGTTCTATGCAGACATGCACGGGATTTCGTTATAAGAGTTTCCCCCCAGAATACACTGAACTGCCACAAAGCATGAATAGATGAGGCTGTAAAGTAACAGCTATGCTTTGCATGACAGCCCCCTGAGCAGCAGCTTAAGTGATTGACTCATATATTCCATGTTCCACACTGATCCATAAGCAGGGCCACCTTAACAAAATGAGAGTTTTGCAACCTTATAAATTATGAAAATCCAACAAATTTGCATGGGGCTTTCTAGTTTGAATTATTAATTTCGCTCATGCTGGTCATGGGTAGCAGTAAAGAGCTATTTAGGGCAATGAAGCTATACTCATACTCACTAAGTGCTGGAAAGCCTACTAAGTGCTTCGTCATCCCCCAGCCTGCAGCCTCTTAGGTTTCACCAGGAAATAGCCACATTCACCAGGTATTGCTTATATGCTCCCAAACTTAACTTTTCATTTTTTGAGGTGCATTTTATTTTTTAAATGAAAGCGGAGATTCTTAAAAGTGTTCAGTCAAGTGCCTCTGATCCTGGAGGCACAAAAAAAGCCATCATGCCAGGGAGATGTTGATAGTTTTTTCTCCCCACCAAAGTCCGATCACTTTCTAAAGCTGTCTAATTTGGTGGCCACCACCACATCTATGCACTTATTCTTCTCTGTCCTGAATCTCCCAACATTCAGCTTCACTAGTACAGTGGGAATGGGACAGAAACTCTCTCTTTGCTCCATGTGCAATTATACTTCTCTATCATACTCCCCCTTACATCCCTTTCTTATAAACTAGAAAGCTCCAAACATTGTAATATTCCCTCTTAGGAAGTTTGTCCTTTATTTTAGTTCCCTTTCTGCTCCTTTTCTAGTTCTACAAAATCCTTTTCAAAATACAGTGGTACCTTGGGTTACATACGCTTCAGGTTACAGGCGCTTCAAGTTACAGACTCTGCTAACCCAGAAATAGCACCTCGGGTTAAGAACTTTGCTTCAGGATGAGAACAGAAATCATGCTCCGGTGGCACGTGGCAGTGGGAGGCCCCATTACCTAGGGCCCCATTAGAAGTGGTGCTTCAGGTTGAGAACAGTTTCAGGTTAAAAACAGACCTCCGGAACGAATTAAGTACTTAACCCAAGGTACCACTGTATGTGTTAAGTCGTGGGCGAACATATCAGACGACACAGCGATTCTTCAAACAGCTCTTCTTTATTCTGAGGCCAGAACTGAACTGAGCTGAAAGGCTCAGTCAGCCTGCTTATTGAGAGCTCCAGTACCTTGTTACTGTAACAACTTTCTAAAACTATCCAATCACTGAACGTCACTTTCGATCCTTCATTTGCATAACTATCTACAGTATCCCCCTGCTGGCCCAGAGTGAGAACTTCAGTACATAACAGTATGGCAACCAGAACTGTCTAAAAATTTGCAAGTGTGGCCACACTGTTAAAAGGCATTACGATATTGGAAGTTTCTTTTTTATCTCCCCCAAAAGTCAGTCATTTCCACACAGATATTCACATTCACAAGCATACTTGTTTACACATACACACACACACTGAACCAACACAATCATGTCCCCTCCTCCAGCCTGCAAACATCAGTTTGGCAGACTATAGATAATGTGATTTTACATGTGCAGGAAGATACTCAGGGATGACCCTCCTGGTTTGCCATCTTTCCCAATACAATTCAGCAGCACGAGTGGTTTGGGCATCTGCAGGAGGGCTTCAATGGAAGGCTTCCAAGGGCCACATGCAGCTTGTAGCCATGCACTGCCCACTTTTATCATTGTGGATGCCTCAAAAGCATGCATTACAAAAAACACACATTTGGGGTTGAGAATATTCTCTTTCCCCAAAAAGGTTGCGAAGGTGAATTGATGTACATCAATTCATGCAAATGTTTCTTGAAACATCAATGTCATTTACACGATACCATCCCATGTGCCAATAAAAAGAAATAAAACACACATTTACCGGTTATTCATTCAGAGGTCCCTGGCTCAGCCTAACCCGATCTACATCTTTAGAATAAACAAACAGCCATGCAATGGATTGTAGAGATGTTGCCAATATCCTTGAACTACTTGATGTCTCCCTTTGAACAGAAGGATTCTGTTGTAAATATTTAGTGGGCAAGAACGGTCAAAAGTGTCATTATGTATTTTGTTGATATTGTTGCATTGTTAGGGCAGCTTAATGCCAAGTTCCTTTGATTCAACTTCTGCTCGGTGCAGTAGAGTAATGCATTCAAGATGATTTGTTGATGTTGGGTTCTCGTTCTAATCTGTGGTTGAGTTTAGCATAAAGAAATGCAGGAGTACACCAGAGTCTAACCTTTTTTCACAGACATAAGTAATCTGTGTACACTGTGTAACCTTCCCTCTGATCAGTTAAGCCTGGACGCTTTGCTCCAGACTCTTTCATAACTAGACACCGTAATCTTTTGCCAAACCCTTTGATTCTGTGATGTGGTAAAATGTCCAAGAGGACACTGAAGCATATTACTTCTTGTTCTATTTCCAATATTCTAATGCATTTGAAAAGTCTTCAGCCTTTTCAAATCTGGGACCCGCCTTCAGCTCAAACAAACTTTAAGGAACCCATGTCTTAATTTTTCTACCACATACTTGTCTGCTGACAGGGCTGCTGTTGCATTGTGCTGCAACTCAAGTGAAGTCAAGAAATAAATGTAAACACTAATCACTTCTGCATCATGATGCCTGCTCAACATGTGACAAACAATAATCTATACCCCAGAACAAACATGTTTCGGCCACAATGGTATCTATAAATATATTAGCAATATTGAAATACCAAAGACTCACCGCTAAGCCTTTCCCAGTTGCAAATGGCAATAAAATATTGGCTTGCCACACCTCGGCCTACACAGTGACTCAGCAGAAAGCAATTCCTGCACATGAGCCGCTTTGGGATCAGTTCCTACGCCAGCTGGCACCATATACAAAGGTGCCAGTATACAAAACCAAAACAATTTTTCAATCTCATTTCTAGGGCTTGCAGAATAACCTTCCTTTGGTTATATGCTCTCTGGGTGGGTTTAGTTATAACTCAAATGAGCTCAAAGTCAAAATCAGAACCAACATTTCTTGCCTAGACTGTCCAGATCTCAATATAAAATATATATTCTCTGAATTACTTTTAGCTACTTTCCTTTTGAAATCAAGTTATGTTTTCAGTGAAAACAGGTACATTTTTCATACACAGTTGAACTACCAGTATCTGTAGTTTTAAGCAAGTGATTAACAATAGTCATGTATTTTGTTCTCAACTTCACTAGGTCTATTATTATTTTTATTTCTGTTTATTGTAATTAATTGTCTTTTTATACTAAAAGTGCAAAAATGACTTACTACACCATAAAACAGCTAAAATCAGTTAAAAGCGGGAAAACAAGAAGAAATATTCCCCCAAATGCTCATCCATTAATACTATCAAAAGGACAAATGTTACCCCACACCAGTAGAGGAGTACTACTACAATAGAGGATAGAATCCTACGAAGGTATGATCCAGGATTAAATGCTGAAAAACTGGCACCTAAAAGCTGGTGATGATGACACTAGGTGTGTTTTCCTGCAGAGAGAATTCCACCACTGGAAATGGCCATTCTCAGGTTGCCATCCTCTATACCCTCCCTTGGAGAAGGCACATGGAGAAGGACTTCTGGTGATGACTGCAGGATCTGGGCAGGTTCAGGTGGGGAGAGGCAGTCCCTGGGATATTGGGGTCCTGAGCTGCATAATTCATTGCTCAAAACCAGTCTTGCATCCTTCATTTGTGGTTATAATTTCACACAGTGATACAATCTTCTTCCATTAATAACATATCACAGTAGTTACAAATCACAGACCAGGATAATTTGTCACAGTTTTAAATGGGCTGCTTGTCTCAGTTATGTTTTTGGTTTAGTCTATAGAAGAAGTAATCTGGAACTTCTCTCCCTCTTTGTTTTTAACTATGCAATCAAACTATTGGCATTTCAAGTATAGAGTACACATGGTTCATATTTATTAGATTTGCATTAACAATAACTTGATCGTTTGGTGTGGCAGCGCCTACACTTGGAACTCCCTGCCTATGGAGATCAAGCAGGCACCTTCACTGTACTTTTTTCGGTGCCTGCTAAAAACATTCCTGTTTTGTCAAGCCTACTCAGATGCTTAGAAAGGGAAGAAAATTTTAATCTGTTGTAGTATTTTAACTTTTGCAGGTTTAAAAGCATGATTGTATCCTTCCCCCCTCCCTTGATTTTACAGTTTTATCTTTTGTAAACTAGTTTGAGTTTTTTTACAATCAAGCTGTGTATAAATTTTATGAAAAAAATGAAATAAATAAGATTGGGATATCAAAAACTATAACTTTTATAATGCTCACATTTTCTAAGGTATTTGGGTGTGATCAGAAACCTTTGTATTGTGCAGTGTGACTCTTTGGGCACTAATCTTTCTCTCATTAGACACTGCCCGGAGGTGCCTTTTACAAAGCAATCAGATAACCAGGGGTCACACTGGAACATCTTCACTATTCCCTTACTACAGATCTTTAAGCTAAATATACCAGTTTCACTGTTCCCAAGCATAAATGATATTTTTTAACACAGATCAAGCAGACTGAGTCATGTGTAGGTCTAGTACAGAGCTTTTAAAGCACATAAGCCCTTGAAGAGTCAATATGAAGATTTATAGTCTAGGTGTCCACACTTTGCCTAATGGAACAGAAATCCTATAGGGCGCTATAAGCATATAATCTGTCTCCCACTATGAAAAACATAATATACGTAAATGTGTGTGTTTGTAGATATCCCTATGCATACATATATACATAACAAACTTTGTAAAGTTTATATAGTACAAATTCTTCAAGTACACACAGTACACATTTCTTCATCCTTAATTAAATCCATATTGAGTACAACATTAATCATTAAAGCCACGTGTGTTTCACTGGTATTCATATGCATTATTATACAGCAGATCAATGAGTAACTTTCGGCCTAAAGTTAAGAGTTCCTTCTTATCTAATCAGTGAATCTTGTAAAACAGGACTGATGTACAAACTTAGCTAGCATAATATGTTGTTTCTAAATTCTAAGCTGTTTCTGTTTAGATACTGTATGGTAAAGGATGGCACTCCTAAAATTATGCACAACACACACAGGCACACACTTCCTATTATGATCACTATTGAGGGTTCCCTTTCCCCAACTTACACATTCTTGATGGCACAAGGAGAAGGGGACAACAGAGGACGAGATGGTTGGACAGTGTTCTCAAAGCTACAAACATGAGTTTGACCAAACTGCGGGAGGCAGTGGAAGACAGGAGTGCCTGGCGTGCGCTGGTCCATGGGGTCACGAAGAGTCGGACACGACTAAACGACTAAACAACAACAATACATTCTTATCAATGGCCGTGCAAATTGTTGCTATGGGTTTAGACTCAGAGCCAGTTAAAACCTAAATCCATATTTCCAGACTTTGGTAACTTCCAGACAACTTGTTTATTGAGCATCCATCCTGATTGTTTTTCACAACGCTTGTGGGGCAGTTAGATGACTTCCACTGTTTATTGATTCTGATTTGTTTGTAGCAAGGTTGTAAGATATTGTGTCAAGCAACAATTATCCTACACTTTTCAGGGCATTTTCCCATCACTTTCCTTACTACAAAAAGTCTTGTTTTTAAGGGGGGCAAAGCCGGTTTGTTGTGCAAGAGTGCCAAATCCACATTGACTGTACAACCTGAATTTGCCATTGAATTCCACCCAGAAAATAGTCTTAGTCTGGAAGCAGCCCTAATCTAGGTTTAAACATTGGCAGAAAGCTGACCAATAAGCCTCACCATCCCACTCTTTCATTCACACACACAGTGAGACTTAAAGCCTCTTGTATAAATTATTCACATTGCTCTTATTGCATGGGTTCCAGCTATTCAAAGGTTTAAAATAAACTGTGAAAATGTTTTATTAGAAACCACTTGGGAGCACTGTCTAAAGCAGCATTTAACATACAGACAAATGCCTAGACTTAAAAAAACCACATTCTGTATTTTTCTTCTTCTTTAAACAAATAATCAACAAGATTATATGTAACACTGGAATCCTTAAATCTGAATTTGTGACGGTGGATAAAGGCTGTTTCGCATGGGCAAACTATTGGCAACTAGTTGGTTTGTTTTCCAGCCCAGATTATATCATGCATGTAGAAGACCACTGGCTCATCTGAATGATTAATCATTAACAGAAATCAGAGTTTGGCACTCCACACTCAAATGTCCTAAGTAAGTTTTGGATTTATGCTCTTAACAGTTCAGGCAGCCTATTCAGCTTGTGCTTAGTGCAATCCAACTTGCTAAGTCTGCTTTGTCTCTTCCGGAGAACTGAGCCATCCTCCTACACTTTCCATGGTGAATCTGCTACCTATTTTGCTCAGAGAGAGGGGGCATTGCCATAACCTTCCCTATTAATCTGCCTTGGGTTGTGCAATCTCAGAGCTTCCTCTGTGTCTGGCTATGATGTAGGGCTCAGCCCACACAAGACTGAAGTAATAATAATCTGCAGAGGCAGACAGAAGAAAAGGACATCAATGACGCAGTTCACCTAATATAGTCACAGAGATTTTGCCATTCAAGATGGTCTTGGAGCCACCAGTTTATCCGGAACTTACCTAGGTTAGAAAATGGCAGACACTACTGTCACTTCCATCTGGTGAAATGCTGTGAAGAGCTGGCCACTGTATTTATTTGTGAAATTTATACCCAGTCCTTCATTGCCAAGAGATCCAAGAGTGAGTAATAACAATTTTAAAAAGCATAGCATAAAATACACCATAAACACAGCAGCAGTGTTCCTGATGAAACTGGATGGCGCTAAACAGCCTTGTACTTACTCCACCAGCTGTTCCAGAGTCTTTACTGACACTTCCAGGCATAACTCAAGGTTGCTGGTCTAGGCTTAGGTAAGTAATGTGTGTTTGGAGTTCCTACGTAATTGAGAGACAGCCACCTTGCTTGTGTTTCATCATCGTCTACACCAGTCCAAACCTTTTTTCAAAGAGGGCCAGATTTGATGCAAGGCCCAGATTTGATGCAGCCAGAGACTCCCTAATGGCGCGGGGGCTAACCACACCCCTGCATAGAGGGGAGTCAAGCCCACAAAACGGAAATGGTTTTGGTGGGCAGGCGCTTGGGGGCCGCAAGAGATTGCTTTTTCAAAATTGCTGGGGGGGGGCATTTGAAACCAGCCCGGGGCCCACAAGTGGCCCCCTGGTCGGACTCTGGACATGCCTGTGTTAGTTCAGAAGCACCTCACACAGATGAAATATCTGTGTGACCAATTGGTACAGCAGGAGTTTGAGCTTCCAGAGTCTTTGTTTGGTTTTATGATAATCAACAGCATGGATGAATCATATGCGGTCGTGTGTTAGGGCAGGCTGCAGGCCGGACTTTGGACATGCCTGGTCTAGACTCTTGAATGCCTTGCTTCCCGTTCCATATTCATATAGTCATAGTACATAGAAGTGATATACTGGTGATTGCTTCACATTTATAGAATTCCATCCTGTTAGTTCTTGAAACAGCTGAAGCTTCACCTATCAGATAAAACTCATTTGAGAAACAAAACCACTTGGAGAAGCTGCTCCACAAATGGAGGAAATATGATGCTGTGTTCTTTTAACTGCTATATAATTTTAACTGCTATATAATAATATTTTCTTTTAGGTGCATTGGAATCATCCACTATATTGTCAACTAATTGTCTATCACATTTCTCTGCACTGTCTGGGTGGTCCTTCATTTTCTGTTTGCTAGAAACCCATAGAAGCCATGGAGGCAGGTGCAAATATAGACTGACCATATCTCACTATAAAGGATGGAATTGGATTGGGCAGCCTTCACACCATCTTGTGCCCTCCTAATGATTTGAATGACACCTCCCAACAGCTAGTTGGGACATAACCCAACTGTTCTGTTATCTCCTTGATCCAGCATACAGAATTTGCAAGCAATACTAGCTCCAGCAATAACTTTCGTACTTATCCCATCCAAGAAGGTCTGAAAATGTGTACATTAAATTATGGGGTTTTTCAAAATTATAAATGCCAGCTTAAAAACCCCTCTCTTATATATTGCACCCTAAAGAAGGAACTTATTCCCTCTCCATGCCCTCCCCCCATATTATCTGAGATGCATTTACTGGTTCTGGAGAGCTGTGAGTCAAAGCCAAATGAAATACTACATGGCCGCCAACTAAAACGTTACGACAGCCAAGCATTTCAAACATATCCTGGCATTTTTAAAAACATTGACTTGCATTCAGCTGTGAGGAAAAAAATTACATACATGTGAAAGGTTTGAACGTCTTCCTCACAGTTTAGAAATGTGGGTTGTAGTCTTGTTTATAAGAGATGTGCACAGACAGCAAGTTGGGGAACAGCTCCTCATGGGAGTCAAATGTATGCCTCCGTTCCCCTTCTGTGTCACCGCAGCAGTAAGCAAACTGTTGCAATGACTGTGCACCATGGCTAGGCAATTTACATCAAGCAGAGGCCTTTCTATTTCTAACATAGGACTCTTCCAACAGCTTGCTCCTGCCTAAGCCCCTAGTACCTAGGCTATGCTCACTGGAAGCACAAACTGAGCTGATTACAACAATCTTCATTGCTGCTCCATGTTTTTAATAGTCAAAAACACTTTGTCCCAATGGCCAATTGCAAATAGACTGAACCAGGGTGACAGGTCATTGAAAGTGATCTGCAGTGAGGATTAAGTGCTCCTCCAGGATCTTTTGCTCTCCCAGTATGGGTATTTTTTTTATATGATAACAAGAATAGGTACGTCCTTTCACCATCATTGTTAGGTACACTCAGCACTAAAAAAATTCAAGCATTTTAAAAATCCCTGCTCTTCAGAGCCAGCTTTCATGTCATGGTCCAGACCCAAGGAAGAGTCCACAGGGCAGCAGAGCAAGGATGAGAGAACCTAGTGGGCAACTTGCTCCAGCAGCATCTGGGCCTAGAATGAAACTTTTATGCATTGACACCCAGAACCCTTTCTTAGGCTCTTCAACTTCCTTCCGAAGTGAAATGCCCAAAGGGGCAGACTTTACATGTATTACTTTGCTTATTTCATAAATGTTGGAAACAAACCCAGTTGTATTTGGGAAGCCTCCTGCTCATTCCACTGTGTGGTCCCCTGGACTTCTGCCTGAAAGTCCTGCCCTAACAGAACCACTGAGCCATTGCTCTGTGCCCATGTCTCCTGCATCCAAACAGAGCAATGTGGGAAGAAGCCACAGGGAAGGAAGGTAGCCAGACTGTGGTCAGACTGTGACTGACCAGGTGACTTGTCTGCTTTCTAGTGCTGTTCAAGGCTCGCACTCTACCTTCTTCAAGGTCACTTCTCTTCTTTCTTATCTTTAAAATAGACTTGGACTGGACAGCCCTCCAAACAGAGAACATCTTTCAATAGAGGACTGCCCTCTGAGAGCTCTCTGAGTTAGAGGACTGGCTCTTTAAAGTAGGACACAGGGCCACCTTTTTGACCAGTCCACTTCAAATGTTGGTCTAAGGCTCTAAGCATTCCTCTCTTCACCACAGTGGTACCCCGGGTGGTGACCAATATGCTCTTGCTATGTTCTTCTATCTCTGCACTGCACCTGCCACAAAGCAGAGGCAGCCTTGCTTAGCATCCCGCATTCCACCTGCCTAAAACAAAGCCACGCGAGCTCCACTGCAGATCTTCCAAAAACACACTCAAACCAGTTGACCACAAATTCTTGCTAAGATGTTAACCAGGAATTATTTCTTTCACTTGGCATTAAGATCAGTGCTTGCAATTATAAGCAAAGGTCAACCCAATGGCTTAGAATTACTGAAAGGAAGAATAAACAGGATACAACTCAAGCACTTTTAGTAATGCAAGCATTGATGGACTGTCATATTTTCTTTCTTTCCCTTTTTTTTTTAAACCTCATTCCTTTAACACAACCTTGCAGTGAGCCTTGGGAAAGAGGAAATCAATAGCTTGAAAAAATAATCATTTTTTTCCTGGCTGAAATCATGTTGTTGTTTATATACAATTATCAATACACATGGTACATATGCTATGTAAGTGTATTAATGCTTAGAATTCAAGCATTAAGGATACACCCTTTGCCTATCACATATACACACAGATTGTTTTAAGTGGTTTGGCTATGATGACCTATGAGATTTGGCCTTGTCTTGAAAACTCACAAGCAGCCCATTCAGCACCTCTATGAGGCACTTTCTTTTAAATCCGTTGATCCCAATGAAGCCAGTGGACTAAAGCCAAGTATTTGGGATTAACTAAGCTTTCTAGACCAGTCTGCTCGTGTCTGAGTGGATGCATGAAAGTGGTCATGGTCTTAAGTCTTTGTCATCCAGTCATCCAAGTACATTTCTAAAAAACTCTGCTGTAGTGAACATCAAGATCTTACCAAATTTGCTTTAAGTACAGTGACACCAACCATAATGCCATGTACTGTTAGTGCCATATGCTACCAAGGAATGTAGATTATGTTATCACTATTCACATATAAATAAGTTAAAAGAATATGTTGAAAACTCATCATTTTTAAAAAGAGCTGGAGGTTGGAGTTATAGGAGGTTGGCGGTTTGGGCCACATGTAGCTAGGGTGCTTCATTACTGGCTATGGGAATAAGGCACCATTTCCAATTTCAGAATGGAACAAAGAGACCTGAGGGGGTGGGGACAGGAATGTCCGAAGAGACAACTATTTTTATTTGTTAAATTTGTATCCTATCATTCTACCAATGGCTCTCAAATGGTGCTCAGTGCTGCCACCATGGTCAGAAGCGGCAATGCTTCTGAATACCAGTTGCTGGAAACCATGGAGGGAGGCGCTCATGTGTTCAGGTTCTGCTTGTATGTTTCCCATCTTTCAGTCTTTTGATCCCAGCTGGTCACTAAAAAAATTATGTCACTAAGAAGTAACTCCAGAGTTTCCTTGTGTCATGAGTCATGACTTTGGATTTTAAGCCTGAGGGCAGGGATTGTTTCATCACTGACATTTGTAAACTGCTCTGCAAGCCTTGGTTTTTTGTTTTTTGTTTGTAGAAGAACAGGATGAGAGAGAGAAAGAGAAAAATAATTCCTGCGGTTAAACCAAGTATTACCAATACAGTGGTACCTCAGTTTAAGAACAGTCCAGTTTAAAAACGGTTCAGTTTACAAACTCTGCAAAATTGGAAAAAGAGTCCTGGTTTGAGAACTTTACCTTGGTCTAAGAACGGAATCCGAATGGTGGAAGGGCACCAGTGGGGGGATGCCTCATTAGGGAAAGCGCACCTCAGTTTAAGAACGGTTTTGGTTTAAGAACAGACTTCCAGAACGGATTAAGTTCGTAAACTAAGGTACCACTGTATTCTGTATTCTGCTTTCCTGGATTTCCAAATGGCTCCATAGGGATGGTACTAATACTGGGTTTAACTGAGAAGTGAGAGGTTACAACGGAGCGGGGGGCGATACAAAAGTGATAACACGATTCCCGCTCACCTGAGTCTTCACAGAGTTATGGGGTTGCATGGGTCTCCTGCACTCTCCCCGGGAGACACTCACCTGTATGTGTGGGGCTTTATGCATGTGCCTCCATCCTCCCATGCCCTCCAACATTTATCCAATGAAAACAGGGATATCCGATTCCATAATGTTAATTTTACTATTTATACCCCACGCACCTTACTGGGTTGCCCCAGCCACTCTGGACAGCTTCCAACATATATAAAAACATAGTAGTAGTAGCAGTAATAATAATAATAATAATAAAATTATTTGTATTCCCCCCCCCCCGGCCAAAGCTGGGCTAGAGCGGCTAACAACTGGTACAACATAAGAAAACATTAAACATTAAGAAAACTTCCCTATACAGGATTGCCTTCAGATGGCTTGGGGTCAGGTAGCTCCATACCCTCCAACATTTCTCCAATGAAAATAGGAACATCCTAAGGAAAAGTGGGACGTTCCGGGATCTAATCAGAAACTGGGACGGCTTCTCTAAATTAGGGATGTCCCTGTAAAATAGGGACACTTGGAGGGTCTGTCCTCCTATTTTCCTCTTTCAACCAAACACCGGCTCATACACACGACAACATGAAAACCTTGGACTCTCCCCTTCTATGTATCATAGATCTAGCAGATCATTTTGAGGTTTCACTGAGAAACTATTGAAGTTGAACTGCTGATGTGCACAATTTATTATGCCTCTAATCCTTTTAGGAAAGAAATGGTAGCTGTGTTTGTGGTAAGATTGTGAATTATAAAGACTTCATTATATTTACAAAATATGCCACAGAACATTTCAGTAAATGAAGTGTCATGAATAATTAAAATGGAGCTTCAGTTGTCAGTCTAACTCAACTAAGTGCCCTTTGGATTGTGTAAACGTTGTGTTTATTGCATTTCTCCATATTCTCAGCATATCAGTGGGTGCTTCCAGACTGTTGCTATGTGCTGGGGTTTTTTTTGGGGGGGGGGGCAAGATTCAGTAATATACTGGTAAATTCAGGTTGCCCAATTAAAGCTGACTTAGAGCTCTTGTGCAACAAACCTTCTTACCCCAAAGAGTGGGCTTTTTGCAATAAGGAAAGCATTGGGGAAACACAGTAGAAAAAGTGTGGGAGAAGATGTGCTTTGACACAATGTCATATAGCTTCCCTGCAATTATCATTAAGAAGCCAATGTTCTTGATTACACAGTCCTATTATACATACTCCCTTATCCATGTACCCTCTTTAGCCAATTTTAGTATCTTGATAAAAAGGTGGGCTACAATTGCTATTTAAGCAAACAAAGAGACCCATGTGTAAACTAGCTCAGCACCTGCAGCGCCTAGGTCAGGTGAAAAGCAAGAGGTACAACTGTCTGCATGGCTTTGCTTAATGCCTTCATGTGTAGACTGAACTGGAGGTGGTAGAATGAACCTCTGTAGGAAGCCTTGATGACTTCGGAAATCTCTCAGAGTTTTCCTTTCAGGAGTGACTAGAGGTACTTAAGAGAAATTTGTGAGCACTTGCAAGCACCCGGAGTTATATCACATACACTTTATGATCAATTATATCAAAGGCTATCAGAATGACCTAAGAGCGTACAAGTGCTTTTATTGATCATCAACCAGTGCTGCAGGGAGTGAGTACCATTCCCAATTCCTGATTTAAGTGTTTCTTGCAAAAATGCTTTACGCTGCTGGAATCCCAAAAGGTATGACTTGGATTATCCATAGTTTCCAGCCCAAATATTCCTCTACCAAAGCTTTCTACTTGTCCTCATTGCCCTGATGATTTGCTACCAATCTTGCCTAGCCAGTTTTCAATCCTATTTTGTATAAATAAAATACCTTTCCATGTCACAAAACCCCCCCACCCCACTCATCATTCCCCACTCCCGCTCTTTCCCCCTTTTCTTCCTAACCTAAGCCCTCCCCCCCCCAAAAAACCACTTTGTACTATGGAGAATTCTATTGGATTTCCTTTATTACTAAGGCTTCCAGTGTGTAATCAGTTTTACTTGTGTAAATGAATAAAGTATGTCAAAGTGAAAAATAAAATAAAATACCTTTCCACTAGCCTGCGAATCAAATCTTGACTCCTTCACTTCAGTGTTGGTTAATTGGCACCAAGCCTATCTCCATTTTCACTATTCCTTCTTCAACTTACACTATTTATTTATTTATTTATTTATTTATTTATCACTTATTCCATTTATAGTCTACCATTTCTCCCGAGGAAGCCCAGGGTAGAAAACATATATAAAACAATTTGTCGTGCTTGCTTTAACTGAGGTTCCTGCATTGCAGATGATTGGACTTGATGACCCTTGGGTCCCTTCCAACTCTATGATTTTTGCTGAACAACTCCAAGCACGCCTGGAGGATGTGGGCCATTTGGATCCCTTCCATTCGGGATTCAGGCCTCATCATGGGACTGAAACTGCCTTGGTCGCGCTGGTTGAGCTAGGCAGGCTAGGGACAAAGGTGAGAGCTGTTTCCTAGTTCTGCTGGATCTCTCAGCGGCCTTTGACACCATCGACCATAACATCCTTCTGGACAGTCTAGAGGGGCTGGGAGCTGGGGGCACTGTTATACAGTGTTTCCGCTCCTTTCTCCTGGGCCGTCTCCAGAAAGTGGTGTTGGGGGATGAGTGTTCAGACCCCTGGGCTCTCACTTGTGGGGTGCCTCAGGATTCCGTTCTCTCCCCCATGCTTTATAATATCTATATGAAGCCTCTGGGAGAGATCATCAGGGGGTTTGGGCTCGGTGTTCATCAGCATGCAGATGACACCCAGCTCTACCTCTCTTTTAAATCAGAACCAGTGAAGGCGGTGAAGGTCCTGTGTGAGTGCCTGGAGGCGGTTGGAGGATGGATGGTGGCTAAAAGATTGAGGTTGAATCCTGACAAGACAGAAGTACTGTTTTTGGGGGACAGGGGGCGGGCGGCTGTGGGGGATTCCCTGATTCTGAATGGGGTAACTGTGCCCCTGAAGGACCAGGTGCACAGCCTGGGAGTCATTTTGGACTCAGAGCTGTCCATGGAGGCGCAGGTTAATTCTGTGTCCAGGGTGGCTGTCTACCAGCTCCACCTGGTACACAGGCTAAGACCCTACCTGCCCGCAGACTCTCTCACCAGAGTGGTGCATGCTCTAGTTATCTCCCGTTTGGACTACTACAATGCGCTCTACGTGGGGCTAACTTTGAAGGTGACCCAGAAACTGCAATTAATCCAGTTTAGTTTTATTTTTTTTAAAGAACATTCAGCCAGTGATTTTAGAGTTGCTAGGAACAATGTCTTTCAACTATCAAAGCCTAGTTAAACAGTAATGTTTCTTCCTTCTTCCTCCAAAAAGTCAGTGATGAGGGAAACTGAAGTACCTTATAGGGAAGACATTTCACAAACAGAGAACCACCACTGAAAATACCTTGCCATGAATATGCAGGAACTTTGGTGTCATGTGTGGAAGAGCCGATGAGAAAGCTAATTCAGTTAAATTTCATTGTCCTCCACAGTGCATTTAAGCAGAAGTACATACAATTTATCTGATATATTTAGAAATATATAAAAAAAATACAGAATGCAAATATTGTCTTCTGAAACACTCCAGTTCTTAACTTTTTTAAAGCACCATAAAAAAGCTCTCCATTATGGGGATGGGGCTGGAGAGAGATGTCTCTGTCTGTACCCATATTTCCTGAACCTCTCATCTTTCTTTTACGTTAGAAGAGATTTATGTTCAAAAGCCTTTGGCTAACTGGAACCTGAATAACAGACAATCTCCATTATTACAGTAGCACTTCCTTTAGGCCAAAGCCAAAAATAGAAGGCTGATGAGTACCAAGTGAGGAATGCGCAACTCATCCTGGGTACATCAATAATAAGAACACAACATTAAATAGTATTGTTTGGACATTCTCAGAATCCTCATTAATATTAATCCACTGAAAATGCATTGTGTACTCTCTACTTGTTGCTCAGTTACGCACTATCATCTGAAAACATGTGTCTGAAGCACAAGCTGCCAGTTAAGGAATAACTCGACTATCTTGTCATCTTTTGGCCTAGAAATAACTGGTGATGAGGACTGCCACTGCGCTATACTTAAGCCAAACTTCTTTCTTTGAAAATGGCTTTGAAAGTGATTTGTTGTAAGTTTTAATACCCCTTTGTTGGGGTTCTGACACTTGCACTGCCCTTAAGAAAATTTTATGTAGTGCATCTCTTTCATTTGGTTGAAATAATAGAAGTCACATGGCTATGTTTAGGTGCCATAATATTCTCCCACAAATCCTGGGAATTTGATTGTGAGAACAACTTTTTGTTCAAGATTCTCAGCCCCAGAAATACTCTGGGCTAGGATCCATGCCACTTGAACAGGTTTAAGACTAAAATATACATCTTCTACACAGTACAGTGATACCTCGGGTTAAGTACTTAATTCGTTCCGGAGGTCCGTTCTCAACCTGAAACTGTTCTTAACCTAAAGCACCACTTTAGCTAATGGGGCCTCCCGCTGTTGCCGCGCCACCGGAGCACAATTTCTGTTATCATCATGAAGCAAAGTTCTTAACCCGAGGCACTATTTCTGGGTTAGCGGAGTCTGTAACCTGAAGCATATGTAACCTGAAGCGTACGTAACCCGAGGTACCACTGTAGTATTTAAGAGGTCCTGCAATACTGAAGAAGCATCTTAAGAATGAAGACCATGACAATATCCTCCCACCTACCACCCACACACTTGCTCCCTTGTTGTCACAAGGTGCAGCCAGTTCCCGTATTACAAGAAACACCGAGTGTAGCAGCAGAACACAGACCTCAGAGGCTCAGAGCAGAGCTTGTCATTCTACTGTTTTCAGAGGAACCAGTCTTAACAAAGTTTTCTAGTTAGTGATTTCAAACAGCACTAATCAAAAAGCATTCCTCTTTTGTCTGCATAGCTAGGCATAGTGCTGCTGCTTAATACTAATGGTTTATTTTTAGTAGCCTGGGAAAACTGTTGTCTAATTTTGTTTGTAAAAGAGGGAAGTGAGCTCTAGTTTTATTACTCTGGCAATAAAGTAGAGTGAGTTATTACTCATCAAGAGTACAGCTTCTGGAAAGTATGGGCTGAAAAAGTATCAGCACTCAATCTATAAAGCTGAGACCCATCAGCTGAGAAATAATAATATCCTTTAAATCATGAATAAAGAATTATCTGGAAGAACTTTCTGGCAAATTCATGATTCACACAAAAGTAACTGATCCCATGCCTGTTTACTTAAAAATAAACTCAACTGTATTTAATGGACTTAACTCACAGGTAAGTGTGCATAGGAGATTTAATCTATAGACCTTTGTTTGAGTGTTATAAATTGGCCTGGTTCACACAGAAACCCTAAACCATGGTTTGTTTAACCAAAAGTGGTTTTCTGAATATTGTTACCCAGTCCAGGAGACTAACCATGGTTTGTTTTCTGTTAAAATACTGCAATGTGAAGCCATGGTTTGTTTTTGCTGTATGAACTATGGCTTTTTAAAACCATGGTTTGATGTTACATCCAAACTCAACAGTCTCTCTTAACTACTCCATTCTACCCCACATGCTCCCCAAACTACTGAGACATGAGGCAAGGAAAGCTGAAAAACAAACCTGGTTTTAGAGGGAAAAACCCATGGTTTGTTGTACAAACCATGGTTTCTCATTAAGTGTGAATGCAGCCATTGTGTGATTACTAGAAGAAAATGCAATACTTTGGGATGCAATGTATTTCCCTTCCTTTTTGATCATGTAATTGGTTGATAGGTAGTTCATATTAGAACAGGCCTTTTGCGTAGCCTAGACATATTTCAGACTGCTCCCCTCCCAAACCTTCTTCTACTTTTTTTGTTTTTGGTGGCTCTCAGATGTTGTACTCCTACTCCCATCAACTCCAACATGCCTTGCCAGTGACATGAGAATTGTAGTCTATCAAAATCCAGAAGGCCCCAGGATCACAACACTTGTTCTAGGTAGACCAAAGACTAAAATACATGCTTGGGGTGCATGGATGTTGTATATTTAGCAGATTAATTGTGCTGCAGAAATCATGCTGGGGAGACCACATGTTCAGGAAACAATGAAGAAACCCAAAAATATATTTTGCTTGGCTTTAATTACAAAAACAAAAACTCCTCTTACATTAATTCTAGAAGTATGACCCATTCACCAGGGTACTGAGAGAGGTACACGCTGCTCTTTATATACTATACCCAATTGCTGACACAGCTTAATTAACACAACTTAATAGCACCTGCTATACTGGTTCACAGCTGTAAAACTAGGTCATGATATTTACTCTGGCCTTTAAAGAGATACACATCTTGTGAAACAATAATGAACCTTAATATTTAAATAAACCATTCAACAATTACCAGCATTTTTCCCCCAGCCAGAACTCATTGAAGCTCAGTTCTGGCACCTCTCAGGTAGGCACCGCTGCCATTATAAGAGAACAAGGGAGGTGTTCGTAATGAGTTGTGGCACCTCTTTTCCTAGAAAAACAGCACCGCCCATCACTATATCTTGTTCACTTTTTATTTACAAATACACAAAATGTTTTTAATATTGTTTTCTTATTTGTGTTATATTTTATATTTTATTTCTGTATATCATGTAAATGTAGAGCAGTTTATAAATTCTGGAACAAACAAACACATAAATAAACTATCAGGACCAGATCTTAAATGCCTTTTAAAGAAGATGCTTAGGTTGAATTAAAAAATCATGTTAGGCTCCTGGCAACAGATGACATAAGGAAATAAGAGGAGTGCCAGTCGGGATCAGAAAGCTGGTGGACATGCTTTGTCTGACTGCATAATTAAAACCTCTGTGGTGTAACGAAAATATCTTGTAGTCATTGCTGAGAACCAAGGGAGGTTAGAATGACATGCCAAGAAAGGTTATCCTCCATGAGAATATGAGTATCTTTACCCCTCGTTGGCTTGTGTCCTGATCCAAGAAAGATCCACCATGTGCTTTCAGAACAGACAGCCTGGATTAATTGACAAAATAGCAAACAGTCCTGTTAACAATTTATTCACATATTACCCTTTAAGGAGAAGAAAAAGAAGTTTGCTAAAACTCTTAGGACATGCAGTGCTTTATATATCAAATGCACTATCTCTCAGTAAGGACACATAACCGCTTGTAAATAAAGTCAACAACCGGAAGAAATGTGTGAGACACAGGATCATGGGTGGCGGTGGAGAGAAAATGGAAATTGTTTCCCACATCCACAATAGGATAAAACACAGCCACAAGAAAGCAGGAAGCCGTGGGCTTCAGATGCATCTGATATGAACGAACAGAATTGCAAGAAAAGGCATTCCCCTACCCCCAAAATAGAACTTGTTTATGGTTTGGTTTGGTTTTATGGAAAAGAGGGGTATAATGCAACAATGAGTAATGAGTTGTGCTAGAACTGGAGAGCAGAATGGAAGTACACTCTGGCCTCTGCCGCTGGATCAAAGGGGCCACACCCCCTCCCTCCCGGGAAGGACATCATGGCAAGAAGATCAGCCCAGTTCAGCCCATCATCCAGAGAAGGCGTTTGCTTTCCCCGCTCTCTACCAGAAATAACACTTCAGTCCAACTGCTAGTTGCCCTAGGACTGCAGATCTGGCCCTGCAGAAAGGGAAGCAGGCTCTGGCCCTGTTCATCAGCCAGAGTGCTACGGGGTGGTGGCTTATGTATGTATGCCTATGTGTGACTTCGGTTTGCTGAGGTTTTTGTAATATGTCCTGATTCCTATAAGCAACCTTGAGAATCATTTGACTGAAATTCTGAGTATGAACCTTTCAAACAAACAAGCAAGCAAACAAACAAATTCTTAACACGTTCTCCCCATGCAAGATTAGATACTCATGATTTTCATTTCTATTCTCACTTTTGTAAGGAAATTATTGAGAAGCTTCACTAGCAGAAGCTGTTGTAGAAAAACAAAGTAATGTTTGGGTACCCCCTGGTTTCCCTTCAGCATACTACACTATATGTTGGGACTGGATGGCATTTCTCCTTTGAAAGGCTTTTGGTGGAATAATATCAGCATCATGCCCATTGCTCCCATGTAGAAATTACTTTCCTGTGTTGGCATAAGTAGAAGTAAAAACATAAACCATCCGCCTCTCTGTTTTTTTCTACCTGCAAGAAATGCTTATATGAAATGTAGGTTCAGTGCAGGCCAAATGAAGTTACGGAATCCTTTACTTTGATGTGCTTTGAATCTGGTCCCTGGGGTGCTTTGAATACTAAATGCTTAAAAGATGTAAATTACTTATGTGATCAAAATCTTTCAGAGTGTTGTTTGTGTTGCCTGTTTCTATGAAGTTCGGATCATTTAAAGATTTTTGCTGTCTCTTTCAGGGCATGACTATAAATTCTGAAGGTGAAATATGGTATGCAGATGGAAAAACACTGGCGGTTGGGCAGTACTGCAAAGTATGCAAACATTAATAGCAAAGAAGAAGAAAAAAGAAACACCAGTGAAAACCCAACAACTTGTCGCTGCTGGGAAAGATTAAGGGAATGAACTCTCCACCTTTGTGAGCAATTTGATGTCCCTGTGACAGATTTCATTACAAGACTGAGATTGTGGAGTCAATGACATACATCATAGTCTCTACACAAACCATATATGAGATACGTTTGGAGGGGGGGGTCTGTTTCCACTCATGGATGACTCCACCACTGGACTGGAGCAATAATGCATTTTGACATAAAGCTGGTATGAGAAACCTTTGACCCTCCCGATGTTTCTGAACTACAACTCCCATCAGGTCCAACAAGCATGGCCAATGGCCAGGGATTATGGGAATTGTAGTTCAGCAACATCTGGTGGGACAAAGTTTCCGTACACATGATGATCTCAAGTATTTTTGTCTCTGTTTTAACGTGCAAAACGCATAGAAACATAACAGTGCAATTCTACATGTCTACTCAGACAAAAAGTGAATGGGACCTACTCCTTTATATAAGATGGCAATCTAAGATAACTGGAGGCCTAGAACTGGATTTTTTCTTCCCCTGAGCCCATTTCCTAGGTTTCCTCCATCCCCTTGTTGACACATTGCATAGTTGTATTTCTTCTCCCTACAAACACCTGGGCCACATATTTTTAGTTATGTGGGTTTAAAGGAATCTTAAGAAGGGATGCACATGTTTTTATCTGGTAGAAGTATATGTCAACCTTTTGTTGATATATATCAAAAAGTATATATCAACCTTTTGAAGTCTTGGTTTAAACAAATCCTCTCTGCTGCTTCTTCCAAAAGCAAGTACTCCCACTGATTTCAAACAGATGTTAGGCAGAATACTATGCTGAGAATGCACTGCATGAACCCTGGACCAAATGCTTTTCAAAATCTCTCCCAATGTTCAGGGGAATGTGAATGGCACTAACACTTTAACCAGCAGTTAATGTGAATTTAACTTACATTCTGTAAAAAGAGAGTTGGGGCAAGAGATCAGAAAGCAATAAGGCATGTTAGGCTATGTGGCATTTACCTCTGCAAAGATGCTTACTTTTTGGGAGCAGATATGGATCAAATGTCTCCTGAGTTGATATAATGGATATAAGTGCCATTATGAGCCAAGGCCACATGATTACAGCCATCACTGCACCATTGACAAGTGTATGGCTGTAGTATGAAGGGATACTGGATACACAGTAAGTCTTTTCCCTGTGCCACCCACTTCCTCAGTGCTTTGCTTCGGCTGTTCCAGTGCCATATCTTTGCATGTGCAATGGTGCCACCAGCAGCAAATTTCTGCCAGTGTTTCTGAGGTGTTCTGCCACTGTATTTGCCATGGTGGCATATCTGACATTCTGCTAGTGTAGCAAGTAGGGATGGAGAGACACTCAGTTTGGTTTGGGTTTTAATGCAAGCCAAGCTGATTTACACTTTGTGAAGCAATAAGCAATCCAAAACTCAGCTACTCTTCACAACTTGCACATCTCCGAATTTTGTGATGCAGTACTCCCACAAAGAAATGTGTACATTAGGGTAAAGTGTGCATTAAAATGTGATTATTGGTGAAAATAACTTACAAAAATGCATTTTATTGGGGGGAAATGCCTATAAAAAGTGTGCATTAGGCACCATGGGATTTTAAAATCTGTCTGTTATTAGAAATGCACACTAAAATTCTGACAAATATTTGTGGGGACTTTTTTGGTAATTGTATAATGATGCAGAAATGCCGTGCACTGAACTTAAGATTGAAACAATGAGAAGTTGAAATTGATAGGCTCCTCCATAGTGAAGTTTCCACCACTTCTACAGCCTGTCAGCTGACATAAATGAAAGGCAGGCTTTCATCCTTATCCAGTTTTTTAAAAGCAGACAGGTAGTGAGCCTGCAAACAGACAGTATGCTTTCTCTGTTGCTACAGAACCAGATCCTCATCGACATAGATTTTTGTTGTTGCTGCTCAATGTATAAAATGGAAAATTTTAGGCAAGCAAAACAAGACTAACAAAACTAGTTACCTAACTAGAAAATTACCAGTGCAGCAAAGTAACATGCACATTCTTGAGAAAAGGACAGTGGAATCTACGTTTCACGAAACCGTAATGTTATATCTTATCAGAAATAGGAGGCTGTGGGCTTTGGGGTTAATTAACATTGGCTATAATGTACATTTAAATGAATGTATAAATAGATTTAGTTATATACTGGTGTGTTTTTCAACATCATTAGGCTACAAAGGACCCTCTGTATGGTGATGAAAAAACTGGCAGAGGTTGGAGACAAGGGGCAATAAAAATTAAAAGCGTTGAGTCTCTGCTTTTTAAAAGATTTTACACACTTTATAAATAAAAGCTGAATAAAACCATCCAGGTTTTCCCACTTCAGATTCAACAGCCATTGAATCCCTTAAATTTCTGATGCTGAAAAGGAGAACATTCAGGCAATAATGACTTGATAAAATGACCCAGTTATAGGGAAGGTAGGTAAACAGCACACAGGGATGCAAAGGAAGGACTAAGCCAAGTTGTGTACATGCAGAGAAGGCAGCTGATGGTTAAATGTATTTGCAAAGAAGTATTTCATTACAGTTATCATAAGGCTGAGGTTGCCTTCTGCCCAATGGAACATAGTGTACAAAGCTCATAAAAAATATGCTGTGTGTAAAATTGCTATCTCTCTGTTTTGATGGGGAGCACTTAGGAACCAATGATGCTTTAAGACTCATTAGTACTGAACCATTGGGTCACCAAGTAAGTTCCTTTGTCATTAGCTTAATACTGTCCCTCATTAGGCACCTACAATTGCCACTGTTATGTGTCCTACTGTGAAATAATTGATTTCAGCTCAAATCTTATTTTTTCCAAACAGATTAATTTGGGTGACTCTTGCATGCAATTAGTAATCCTTGCCAAGAGAGGACACCTCAGCACAGAACAGTAATATCTGAAATATATCAGGATGCAAGATTTAACTTGTATTAAATAAACTGAGATATAGTGAACACATGAAAATTATCTTTACTGCTGTTGATACCAAAAGTATACCTGCTACTCCACCAGGCAGACAGTCCTTAAAACAAAAGTCAAGGGTGGGAAAGCTTTGGCTGTCCATATGTTGTTGGGAGTCCAATTTCATCAATGCCAGCCAGCACAGCCATTGATCAAAGATAAGTGGAATTGTAATCTAGTCTAGATGTTCCCCATCCCTGATCGACCATTCAAGGAATTCCCTTTGTGTTTTATTGAAGTGAGAATTGAGTGGATGGCATGATGTTGTGGGTATATGAAGAGTGATTGTTGAGTGGTTTGGTATGTTGGAATTGTGTGTTTAGACTGGTTTTTTATAGTATAAAAGTGAATGTGAATGATTTTGGTGTTTATATTATGTGTTTCTTTTTGTAATATTAACCAGATTTTTATGATATTTCAATATGTTGCATTTTTCTGTTGTATCTTGGTGTGAATTGTACACATTTGCTTTTGTAGTTCCAAGTTGTTTTACTTATAGAAATTGTTTAAATATGTCTATTGTTAAACCACATTACCATAAAATGTGGGATAATGATGGCGATAAGTAGTATTGGTACTAGCAGTATTGTTTGATTTTGAATGTGGATCACTCGCAGAGAGAAGAGGACAAATTTCCCATTCAAGATCAAAGCCAGCCATATGCCAGTTTGTCCAGAATAATTTGGGGCTGATTGTAGAGGCTGGAATGGTTCTCCTCTGAAGATCCTGTTCCATGTTCACAGCTCTAAGAAGTGCATGCATTTGGGGGAGCAGGGAGAGAAATGGATGCTGCTCCTGATTTTGATTCATTGCCTTTGCTCAAGTGTTGGCAGAGAAAGAAAAAATAAATTGTACTGTAAAAATCTTCACAGCAACTTTATCAAAAAGACTGAAAAGAACATTATCAGCTCCTGAACTAAGAGAGAGATCCTTGGAGGAAGACGTGGAAGTGATTCTATTTGCCAACAACTCAATTTAAGTGCCACATGGGTAGTGGATAAATTCAGCAGTTGCTCTTTCAGAAATCAAAAAAATATCTGCAAAAGGGTGTGGGATGGTGGTCTTATTATGGTTTTAGGTAAAATAATTTTACATGTAACCATATTTGAATAACTTTTTCAATCTATCTATGAGTGGCCACAAATGCAGAGTGTGTGTAATGCTAGTTATTATAATCCAAAACTGTGGACTGGGATGTGAGAAGATACAAGCATATAGTTTTTAGTAGACAGTCTGGTAAGGGACCTGTTACCCACTTTTACAAAGGGAAAGAGATATACAGCGGTGCCCCGCAAGACGAAAAACTCGCTAGACGAAAGAGTTTTCCGTTTTTTGAGTCGATCCGCAAGACGAATTTCCCTATGGGCTTGCTTCGCAAGACGAAACGTCTTGCGAGTTCTTGCGGGTTTGTTTCCTTTTTCTTAAAGCCGCTAAGCCGTTAATAGCCGCTAAGCCGCTAAGCCGTTAATAGCCGCTAAGCCGCTAATAGCCGTGCTTCGCAAGACGAAAAAACCGCAAGACGAAGAGACTCGCGGAACGGATTAATTTCGTCTTGCGAGGCACCAGTGTATGAAGTATTGTTATGTGGCTACAACTTAATGGTATGGATGTTTCCAGAATTTAAACCTGAATCTAATGGATATCTGGTCAGCTTAGAGGAAAGATTATGAACTGCAAATAATATAGAAAAATAAAAATACCACGAAGTCCAAAGAGAAGGTGTAATTGGCAGTTTAAGTTACCTAGAAGAACATTATATCATATTAGACAGAGGAAATAAAGCTGATTGTGTTTCTGCCTGGTTTCATGATTGCTTTATAATTCAATATGTGAACCACCAACAAAAATAAAAGCATTGTAGACTTTGTAATAGATGTTAGGATGAGGTTGCAATCAGAGTGAGTGTATATATAACCAATTTAATCGGTTTAGGGAGATTATCATATCAAAGTATTTGAAGATAAAATTACAATTTATGTTTCCTTTTTTATTTAGAAACAGCTAAAAATTGTAGCGTACATATTAGAGAAGCTTCCAGGGAAACAGGAAGCTAATTCTGTTGCTCTGAGACAAAGTTATACAATACCATTCAAACCTCCTTTGCCAATTCTGTGATGAATTTTGGGTTGACATAGAGCTTTTTCATGTCTTTTTTCTTCTTCAGTGAATCTACTTTTTTCCAGGATCTACTTTGGTGATTTGGTGTTGATTGCCAAAAGACAAGTTTGTGACTCCTTTTAAAAAAAATAATAATAGGAACAACAAAAATAATTTTAGGGTGCTAAACAAAGAAAACTTGGGGAGGAAACCAGTAGTGGATTTTTGACTGGAGCTTCATTTTGGCACTGAAAACAATTTACTGTGCTAAGCCTGTGCTCATAAGAACTTTGTTCTTTAATTTCAAAGGTGCAAGTCCAAGGTCACCTCCAAATGACCTATTTAATAAGCATTTATCCTGATTCATTTATAAAGAGATTAGATGAGATTGGATGTTTATTGAATATTCATCCTGATTTGTTTATGGAGAGATTAGGTGATATTGCATCAAGCAAATATTATCCCACACTTCCCAGTCCACTTTTCTCTCATGCTTTTCTATTGCAAAAACTCCAGTCTTTTGGGGGAAGGAGGCTTGCTTCACAAGAGCTAGAAATCAACTTTAATTGTGCAGCCTGAATTTGCTGGTATGTGATTGAATCCCACGCAAAACCAGGAAGTGCTCCAATCTGATGTTACTTGGCTCAAGTTGGTGGAGCTTGAGGTTCTTCCTACCTCTAATCTAGCACATCTATTTGGAGGGCACAAGAAGCCGAATTCCTGTAGCATCTACTTCATGTGCTTGCCTGACATTTAGAATGGGTTATAGGAAAAGTTTGCATGCCAATTCTGGACATGACCAGCTCAAGACATTTTGCTATCTGAGACAAAAGGAAGATGGCACACGCATGTGTGTGTGTGTGCACCTTACGCTAGTATGTTAGAAGAAAGGTAGTAGCCGAGCCTTCTCTATATTTGGATGACATTCTTGTATGGGAGAGCAGTCAGATCAGGGTGCAATTGTTGAGTTTATTGAAATGGTTAAAGGTAAAGGTAAAGGACCCCTGACAGTTAAATCCAGTAGTGAACGACTCTGGGGTTGCGGCGTTCATCTCGCTTTACTGGCCGAGGGAGCTGATGTTTGTCCGCAGACAGTTTTTCCGGGTCATGTGGCCAGCATGACTAAGCCACTTCTGGCGAAACCAGAGCAGTGCATGGAAACGCCGTTTACCTTCCTGCTGGAGCGGTACCTATTTATCTTCTTGCACTTTGACGTGCTTTTGAACTGCTAGGTTGGCAGGAGCTGAGACCGAGCGATGGGAGCTCACCCCGTTGCGGGGATTTGAACCGCCAACCTTCCGACTGGCAATCCCAAGGCTCAGTGGTTTACACCACAGCGCCAACCACGTCCTTATTGAAATGGTTACTATACCTTAATCCAGCCCGTCCCATTTTGAGAATTACAGTACTTCTACTGAGAGTCTTGAGGCATAATTTTGAATATTTCTCTCACCCATGGTCATATAATGATGCTCCATAGATGTAGAAACGTGTAGCAAAACCACAACCCCATTATGTTAAGTGAAAGAAAATAATGGACACATTAGGGTTTGAATGCCTCATCCCAGAAAGCTGAGAGACAATACACAGAGCTCAGTTCCGACATCAAGTAGTAGCTAGCAAGAAGGTAGAGACATAGTAAATCATATAGTCATATTTTGAAGAAAATAAATTACAGCAAAATAACTGTTGTCTTTATTTTTTTGTTTTTATTTGTACACCACCTATTATATAATATGTTACAAATTAAAATGATAAAACAATAAAAGAGTAAAATTACAAGAAAGGAAATAAAATGCAACTGATAGCCATAAAAGAAAATGCTTGAGGTATTTTATTTTTTTACAAGTACTGAAATGTCATCAGTGTTGGCACTTGCTGGAGCTCCTAGGAGATGTGATTCAATAGAAAGGGGGCCACCCACAGAGAAGGCCCTCTCCCTGGTTTCCACAAACAAATATTGCAGCACAACCAAGAGGGCCTCCACAGCTCTGGCAGGGCAGCAGGGAGAAAGGCACTCCTGCAGGTATCCTGATACCAAGTTGTTTGGAGGAATTAATAGGTTAAAACCAACAACTTTAATTTGGCCTGGTAGCATACTGGCAGACAGTGCAGTTCTTTTAGAGAGGTGCAATGTGTGTCTGATGGGACACTCCACTAAATAATATCACTGTAGCATGCTGCACCAGCTGTAGCTTCCAGATCACCCTTCAGGGAAGCCTCACAGTAGTCCATTCTAGAAGTTACCAGTGTGTGGATCACATGGCCAGGCTTTTTCACTCCAGGTATGAATACAAGTGGTGTGCAAGCCAAAGCTGGTAAAAGGTATTGGGACTTCCAGGAACAAAGACAAATCAAGGAGCACTCCCATACTGTGTGTATGTTCCTCGGGACTGCAACACCATTCAGGACAGGCATGCAACTCAGCTCCCAGACTTTAGAAACACCTCTGTCTAGCCAGGATTCAATTTCAGTTGATTGGCCTTCATCCAGCCCGTTATTGCATCCAGACACTGGTTCATGGTCTATACAGGCTCATCTGATTCAGACATAACCACGGAAAAGAGCTGGGCAACATCAGCATGTTGAGAATACAATGCTCCAAATCTCCTAAAGACTGCAACCCAATTACTTCATATTGATGTAAAATAGCACTGACTCACCCCATAATACAATGCAATTTTGTCATAGCAGGCCTCTGAGGGTTGTACAGTACCATGTGCTGAAATTATGTCAATAATTTCTGGGCTGCCCAAAAAACTCTGTTGGATGGCTACTTGTGAGGCCGAAAAGCTGCCTTCACCATCATGCACTAGGGATGACTGTGTGCTCTAGCATATGGTCACCTTCACAAGAAATCCTATGTCTGTTTCATTGCCTGCAGGTCAAGTGCAGCTTGATCTCTGCAGCATTGAAAGGGCACTCAGATATGATTGTATCAGTGGCCCATCACATCTCGCCATACTACCAGAAAAAGTTGTGTAAGCCGATTCAAATATCAGAAATAAGTGGGATCGCTTTACACATAATTAAATAAATGTGTAGATGCGCACACAATTAATCAGTTCAAAAGGAAGCTGCAGGCATTTTTACACAAGGAGGAAATCAAATAATTTGTTGGCTAGCTAAAAATGTTCTGGTTAAGAAGAGGCAGTGCAAGTTAACTTGAATTTCTGTAAGTTAATAAGAATATACCTCAATGAATCATAGTCTGTCTTAGCCTCTTGTACATTACTAATTTAATCATGAAAAGTCTGTTGAGATATTGAATTTGGGTTTTTTAGATTTAAAAAAGTCTTCCTCAACAGTTCATGCACAGATTATTTATTTATTTATTTATGTTCCCAACATGTTTGTCAGTGTAAACTGCTACAATTTTAAGGAACGTTCTGTCATGAATCTTATGACATTTGGTGCTTTTCTTGGAACCACACAGCTGAAATTAGCTACCTAAGAACCCTAGTTGAAAATATTAATCTCCAGTTTGAGCCTCCAAGCATGACTCAATATGTCCATTGGACATTCCAGTCGTACAGAAGGCTATTGATGGCTATTAGCCACAAAGACTATAATCTACCACCAATCTTGGCTGCAGGACCAATGAATAATGACCAACAGACTTCTGCATGGAATGGGTTACCAAACTGGCCTAGCAGCCTGGTTAGTTGCGGTTGTGACAGAACTTGGGCCAGGACCCACTCTAGACTGAGAGGCCTCAATGTTATACAAGGATTTTTCAAGTGCAAATCAAGCTTCCACTTTTGTAGTCACACTGGCAAGAAAAAGTGACCAGCCTATTGCTGATTCATGAAGCTGAATATGAATGAAAATAAGACCATAGATAGCAATAAACTGGAATAGTTTGATATTTGTGTGGTAACCTGTGGCTCTGCAGATGTTGTTGGTCTGCAGTTCCCATCAGCTCCAGCCAGCATGACCAATGGTGATGATGATGGGAGTTGTAGTCGAATAACATTCAAAGGGCCACAGGTTCTCTGTCACTGACCTGGAGTATTTTTGTTTTGGGATTCTCCAGAAAGCACCTGTAGGATAGTTCATGGATCCTAAAAGCTAGCATTACTCCATTATATAGAGTAGAGGATTCACAATCTTAATAAAGAATCAATTCTTAGCTTTCAGCCATATCAATATGTTTATGTTGTCAAAAGGTATCTTTTCAAGGGGAAAGGATCAATAAACCATCCTTTTTCTTTAAAATGAGTTCAGATTTCTGCCAGTTCTAAGACTGTACATTTACAGGAAACCTATAGACTTGAATTCTAAAGTTTGGCTCAGCTGAATGAGTATCAGTAGCAACAGAATGTTCCTTCAAATTCTAGATTATTAGATCAGAATATATTTTCTTTTTAAAGGAGCAGGAGAATCTATGCTTGTCTATGAATAGGCCACATCCACACCTTACATTTAAAGCACTGTATTTCCCCAAATAATCCTGTGAACAGTAGTTTTATTAAGGGTGCTGATAGTTATTAGGAGGTCTCTATTCCCTCTGCAGAGCTACAATTTCCAGAGTGCTTTCCTCCTCCCATGAAAGGAGGGAGGAGAACAATATTCAGAAGGAAAGGGAACACGTTGATAGGTCTGCATTCAGGTTCCTGGATCTAGATGTTAGTGGAGTAGCTTGAGAAGAACCACTGACAAGGCCAAACTAAAGCAGAGGCTAAATGAGACCATTGTCTCAGGTGGGGGTGGGAGAACAACAAATGGGCATCCAGAGCCCCCCATTTGCCTCAGCATATGCCTACCTGCTTAGCCAGCCACTTGATGAGGCAAGACTCTTTCTCAATTCCTCCACTTGCTCTGAAGGGCCAAGGACATCCTTCAGAGTGAGGTGAAGAGGAGAGTACCTGGGCCACCACGGCAGCTTGTCATAGCACCATTTTTTGCTGTGGGAGAGAAATTGTGAGCACTGCTGTTAATGTGATAACTATGAAAAAAGTTTTTTTAAAGTAAGTGAGGGGGTGAAGGGTGAAGGGGAGACACTTCTGGCATCATGAAAAGAGAGGGTGGGCAGGCTGCAGCAGGGAGAGGAGAAGTGCCCCCACCTACCTCAGAGAGGTAGGACTGGATGTGCTAGGACTGGATCTTGTGCTAGGACTGGGTTGTTGTTGTTGTTTAGTCGTTTAGTCGTGTCCGACTCTTCGTGACCCCATGGACCAGAGCACGCCAGGCACTCCTGTCTTCCACTGCCTCCTGCAGTTTGGTCAGATTCATGTTTGTAGCTTTGAGAACACTGTCCAACCATCTTGTCCTCTGTCGTCCCCTTCTCCTTGTGCCCTCCATCTTCCCCAACATCAGGGTCTTTTCCAGGGAGTCTTCTCTTCTCATGAGGTGGCCAAAGTACTGGAGGCTCAGCTTCACGATCTGTCCTTCCAGTGAGCACTCAGGGCTAATTTCCTTAAGAATGGATGCGTCTGATCTTCTTGCAGTCCATGGGACTCTCAAGAGTCTCCTCCAGCACCATAATTCAAAAGCATCAATTCTTTGGCGATCAGCCTTCTTTATGGTCCAGCTCTCACTTCCATACATCACTACTGGGAAAACCATGGCTTTAACTATACGGACCTTTGTTGGCAAGGTGATGTCTCTGCTTTTTAAGATGCTGTCTAGGTTTGCCATCGCCTTTCTCTCAAGGAGCAGGCGTCTTTTAATTTCGTGACTGCTGTCACCATCTGCAGTGATCATGGAGCCCAAGAAAGGACTGGATTAGAGAACTGGAAAAAGAAGTCACTCTTCCACATGACCATAGTATAACTAACTCGTTTTCTTCAAGAGAGGCAAACAACAGTTTTATATCTACATGACCCAAGTGTTCAAACTACAATGCAATGAGATTGACAAGATGCCAATATGGATTCCTCTCCTACAGTTCTGGAATGCATCAAGAAACATTGCAGCACATAGTTTGCTTAAACAAGGTTGAAATGTAATACAGATAGAAACCGCAAAGTCCACCCAGATCCAGTTCCCAGACTGTCACATCATCATGAGGAATTGTTGAATAATGTACACATATTTTAGGGCAATTTTTTTAAGGGCATGTAATTCATAGAATCAGATATATGTATAAGGTCCATGGATATTATCTGAAAATCCCCTTCTACATTTTTCTCATATTTTTAATGGGGAAAACATACATATTTGGCTTGAAATTGTCATTAGCTTTTGGAGGCTATCTTTTGGTTCAAATAAATCTTGATGCCCAATGTATATGTAGCATTTTATTTGCCTCTGAAAGTTGCATCAAAGATTCCATTAAAGAAGGAGAGCAGTGGCCATTGTCCCCTTCCTTGAAAATCTAACATTATAAATCACCTTATAATAAGTTTGACCATTGGTCCATATAACTTTGTTGTGTCTGCATGGGGAATATCTCTCCATAATTTCAGAGAAGGGTCTTTCTTGTCCAACCTAGAGAAGGCACTGAACCTTTCATAAGTCAGGAGCCCCTATATTTTAAACCAAGTCTCTGGTTCCACACACTGCGTGAAAATTGCTCTAGTCTAGGCAATTAAAGAGCCTACAAACAAGGTATATATGCATGCTAAATAAACAAGTATCTTTGTGGGGAGAAAAAGTAGGGTGCATGTGTGAGCTCACCTGATAACCTTAGGCAAGGCACTATTTTTCAGTCTCAGCTGCCATATGCACCCCAATAATAATGTGGGGTTTATAATCCTTATTGGTCTTTTAGCATTCATATAATGGGGGGTAAGATAAGCCAAGAGGACACGGGTGACGCTGTGGGTTAAACCACAGAGCCTAGGGCTTGCCGATCAGAAGGTCGGTGGTTCGAATCCCTGTGATGGGGTGAGTTCCTGTTGCTCAGTCCCTGCTCCTGCCTACCTAGCAGTTCGAAAGTACGTCAAAGTGCAAGTAGATAAATAGGTACCGCTCCGGCAGGAAGGTAAACGGCATTTCAGTGCACTACTCTGGTTCGCCAGAAGCGGCTTAGTCATGCTGGCCACATGACCCAGAAGCTGTACGTCGGCTCCCTCGGCCAATAAAGCGAGATGAGCGCCACAACCCCAGAGTCGGTCACGACTGGACCTAACAGTCAGGGGTCCCTTTACCTTTGCCTTAAGATAAGCCAAACTGCTATTTGTTGAAACTGCAGAAGAGCTTTAGGATGCAATTCTATAATCAAGATTCTCCAGCTGAACAACTAAATGTTTGCAGCATAAACACTACTACAATGGACAAACACCTGATATGCAACCACCATGCCAGATACATCACCTGAACACCAGACATGCTGGTGGAACAAGCCAGGGTCAGAGCCATTCTACTGGCAAAGATATGGCAGTATATGGTTCCCGCCCCCCACAAAAGCCTTACTTCCAGTATTGGACATGTCATTCTACAGCATAACAGTGGTGTATCTCTGATCTCAGCGTAACGTGAGTATAGGTTTGCTCTGCTAGTGATTTTTTGGTGTCATCTGATAGCCAACCATGTTGTCTGTTGTAATTATCTAATGTTGTGATCAGTTTGGAGGATGCTTTTATGAATGGATACAATGTATTGTATTTTTTTGCCATCTTGAACATTGCAGCTATCAACACTGGCATTGGAAATCCATAATTCCTGGTGACTTATCATTGAAGCAAAAGACATGGTGACCTCAGAACCATGTGGCTAGGAAATTGATTTCTTTAGCAGTAGGTATAGCATTTTACCTGGCAGTGTAATACTAAAGAACGCTTGCATAATCCCTGAGAATGCATACACTCCAAGGATACATTTACAAAGGCTTTCACCTGATAGCCCCGTTGTTTACCACAGGCTAATTCTTCTGTTGACTTGGAATTACACAATCACATTATGGTACTTTCTGAATAAAATATTATGTACAAATTATGATGTTCACGTAGGCTTCCTCTTCTAACAAAGGGAATCATATTCATTCCTGTAATGAATCCACCAGAGATATATAGACAAGTAATAAATTATTAAAGGAATCTGAATCAGTGCATCAATTTCCACTTTTGATTTTGATGCTATGTTATGATGGCACTATTTCTTACAAGCAGAGAGGGGCTTTCTCTCTAGCCAGCCAGGTCATTAGTTTTGTTTTCATTTAAACAATGGCATTATTATTATTATTATTATTATTATTATTTCATACACTTTCTTCATTACCTCTAACTCCCTATTGCTTCTTCAAGGGTTAATAATTTGAATAGGCCTGAAGTATTCAGCTGAAAGGTTTCTGTACGTACCATTGAAGGAGTATATTGACATTAGTACAAGTACCCCATATTCAAATATGTGTTCTATGCAAGTTTAATTCCAGCACTGGTGCCATCTATGGGGGGCCATGGGGGCCAGCCCCCATATTTTCAAGGATTCCGCCCCCCCAAAAAAATTTCCATGTGCTGGCATGTCCTCCACCAGGAATGCAGTGAAGGTAAGGAAGCTGGCGGTGAGGAGGTGGGGGCTGGCAGGCAGAGTCAGCCTGGCTGGGTTGGGGTGGCATGTTGGAGGCAACTCAGCATGCCTGAATTTCAGTGTTAGTATTCACAGACCAGAGGTACCACATTCCTCAGTCAGATGGCAGAACTGTACTGATCACCACATTTTTATAGGAAAAGTCAATAAAGGCACCAGCAATTCAGGTAAACAATAGATCCATATTCATTTGATTGTTTTGTGTCACAAGATATAAGAGCTGCATCTGAAGTATATGGTCACCGTAGGAGATTTAGCACAGCTGATGTGACCCTGACTGATGGTGCCATATCCTAGCCCTTAAAAATAAATCTCAAGAGCTTTCCATTTGCAGATTCATTATAGATTCTACAGAATCTATAGGTTCGCATGGACAGAATTGGATTTGGGTTTGTTGTTTTTTAAACTGAGAAATTATGTACAATGCAAATACAGAGGGCCTTCTCGGTAGTGGCGCCCTCCCTGTGGAACACCCTCCCACCAGATGTCAAAGAGAACAACAACTACCAGACTTTTAGAAGACATCTGAAGGCAGCCCTGTTTAGGGGAGCTTTTAATGTTTGATGTATTACAGTATTTTAATATTTTTTTGGAAGCTGCCCAGAGTGGCTGGGGAAGCCCAGCCAGATGGGCGGGGTATAAATAATAAATTCTTATTATTATTATTACAAATGATCTTTCTGTGGGGTTAGTGAGAATTAGCACTTGCGCTACCCAAATTTATGGAAGTGTTTAACAAAAAAGCAATATAATTGGTAACTTCAGGTGCATATTAGGAAGAAGGCAAGTATGTGAGCACCAGTGCTTTGAAAGCTATGCAAAGCCTATCCTAATAAGCTGAGTCACCAAACAGATTCCTATAAACAACACCAGTCCATTGTGAAAATAATTACAGTGTTCCTTTACATTTTTGCCCTTCATTTTATACCTGTGAAACTTTTTTCTTGCCCTTGACCCATTTCACTAGAGTGGAGACTGAACCAGACTTACTGGGAGTGTTCCTAAGATTGATCCATTATTGTGCTTCTGAGACGGGTGGGATCAGCAGCAACATGTCAAAGCAAATCTTGCCTGATTTTTCTGTTTCATGTACTGCCTCTGCCGAGCTGCCTGGACAAACACCAGAGAAGCCAGACAGCACACCCCTGAGACACAGCTGTGGAATTTGTGGAATACATTTTATTCTTTTTTACCCAATTAAGCGAGAAATTAAGCAAATGTCTGGTGACATGTGTAGCTATATTTTATAAAATAAGACAGATGAGCAAAAAGAGATCTTTGCTTTCTGTGCTTGTGAATTGTTTCATATTCCAGTGGTAATTCACAGACTGCAAATATCTCAGTAGTCACCCTCACAGTCCGTATCTTAGCAATTTCCAGTGCAAGGATAGGGCCTTTTCCTGGTTTCTCTTAATATATAAAAGATTCACATTTAAACAATTTAACAAGTGGCTTCAGCACTACTGATCAGTTGAGGGCAGGTTGATGCCTTATTTCACAGCCCACAGTCTCATTTTAATGCTAAAAATTCCACATGTTCACTGTAACAGTGAGGGACAGGAGTGGCAGATGTCAGAAGTAATTATTTGGAAGCAATATTCATAAAAAAATGAAAGTCATGACCCCACTTTCTGGCTAAAACCTTTATACAGACAAAAATGCATTACCATAACTAAATTAATCAGTCTTGTCTTATATGACATATACTAAAAAAATGTGCGGCATTCAAATCAGTGATATAACAGATTCAGAATTAGGGGAGCTCAGGTGCCAAAATATCTCAGTTTGGAAATTCTGCCTCTAATATGAGCCAAGCCGAAACAGCTTCTGAAGTTTGAGTCCAGCTTGCATTACATTCACCACATACATTAACTATAAGAGAAAATTGCTTTCAATAATGCTCATTAGCCAAAATTGCATATAAATATATGCTTACTAGGAAAAAATCACACTAAAACGCTGGTGAATTTTTGAAAGTTTTTTTTTTTTAAAAAAAGCAAATTGCTACAAAATGTGGAGATCTGAACTTAAAACTGGAAAAATGAGAAATCGGGTCCTCCCTTAAAGAAGGCACGTATTGCGGTGAGACTTGGACAACCAACATTCTGTGTCTCCAAGAATGGTGGAGAAAAACTAATTAACTACGTGTTGAACTTGGGGTTCTGTGGACTGTCTATCACTAGTGCTAATGTAAAAATTATTGTGATCCAGGCATGTCCAAACACTCTAAAGTCTCATTGATTATATGGGAATATTATAGGTACTTGATATAAAAAGTACTTACATTAAGTCACAAGAACTATAATGCGATCGGAGGTCATGGCCCCCATAAAGGGTACCCCATAGCAGAGACCTAAATACAAACACATGCCTAGCCTAGCCTAGCCTAGGAAAAAATCCACATTAATTTACCTGGATCACAATATTTATGCGCAACTTGGAGCTGTGTAAAAAGGAGTACCATACACTCTGAAACAGCTCACTTATCCAGGAAGGCAAAAGTCCAAAGTGAAACATTATTACCTTCTACTTATCAAGCATCTTGCATATCAGAGGCTCCTAAAGGCCTTTACAAATTTATAATGTAGAGATTACCTCATTCACCAGAGGAAAGTGAGGTAAGTAAAGGGGGGGGGGAACCATATACTCACAGAGGAGAAAAATGTGATGCTTGTGTATGCTCTAATGTTTCTGAGTTCTTGAGCTGAAGGCTGCTTAAAAATTTCAACTCACGTTCTGCTCTTTCATTGACAATATGGTGTAGTGAGCTTTTCTGGTAAAAGGTAGTTCTGTCTTTAAAATCTTATCCAATAGCTCTGGTATACAGAAATCTTAAAGCAGTAGTCTTCCAGAAGGTCTGTACTGAATATTCCAAATCAGCTTCATTTGGTTTATGTCTAAGCATGCAGCTTTACAGATTGTGTCATCAAAAGTTCATTCCGAAGGGAGCTATGTGCAGAAGTAGGGTCAAATCCTGAGGACCTGTACTAGACACAAATAGATGCTATGCTTGTTTTGTACCCCTAGCTTTTGGGGATCAACACAACTAATTATCACTTTAATACCATAGATGTGAAAAAGCAACCCCTGCTGTAGGGACAGCAAAGCAGCCAGAAAAGAGATTATGTACAAAGGCCAGAGAAAGAGCTGTGAGTGCCATCCTTTGGACTCCTTGGAAAACTCACTAAACCAGATGTGCTGTAGCCTGGGATTGGTGTGTGTTGTATGGCTGATTTGAGTGCTGTGGGCAGCCCAAGGATGCTTGCCTCTCCATGAAAGCAAACCGAGAGTGAGAGACTAGGGTGATGTCAGCAGCTTCTAGAACTCCTCTTTGTTGTAAAATTCGGGGGGCGGGATCTGTGAGTTTGTTTGGGCAGTGGGTGAGAGGCAGTCAGTCCTGGGTGGGGAGGTGTGTCAGAAGGGGGAGGTACTGATGTAAGTATATATTTATTAGTAATTTGTATTAAAGGCACCATTATGTATTTTAATAATGTGTGCTGTTGTTTTAGTTTCCTGAATGCTCAGTAATATTAAACTATGTTAGAGATTTGGGAAAGCTTTTCATAGTAGGTTTTCTTAAGCTAGGGATGGGGAACTACAGCCCTCCAGATGCCATGGGCTCCCATCACCCCTGACCACTGGACATTCTAGCTAGGACTGATAGTATTTATTTACTGCATTTATATCCCACCTTTTCACAGCTGACCAAAGACCACCCAGTGAACTTAATGGTCAAGTGAGGATTTGAACCCATGTCTCCCAGCTCATAGTCCAGGGCTCTAACGACTACACTACACTGGCTCTCCTAGTACAACACACTGGTTCAGCAAATAAAATTCAATGAGTAAAATACCTGAACATTTCCCCAGTTTAAAAATTGACACCCCCTATAGTCCTTCTCTTCTATAAATGTTAGTATTTCAACTCACTGCATTCTAATAGTTGGAAAAGAAAAAGTCATTCTCAACCTGTTCCTAAAATTCAGATTTTTATATCCTATTTTACAAATAGGCAAGCCTACAATCCTGCCAACAGGCAAACTTCTTTGCCAGGATGTTACTAATGTCGTTGAGATAACAATCAGACCTTAGGTTTGTTTGACTTGTTTCTTGAGTACTTCAGATACATTGATTACAAAAGCAGCTAGCTGGGGTCAGCTTTTGGAAAAGGAAAATCAAGGTTGGCTGAGCCTGGTTAGTTATCCACACCACCTGACCTTTAAAGGGATAAACAAGCTTATTTGTAGGCACAGACAAGCAACATAAACGAAAAATAGGGAAAATTCCATTTCATAAATGGCTGTTTTCCTAAAACAAAGAAAGCTTTTTTTGGGGGGGGGGAGACTCACATACATAGTTGTGTGCTATGTTCAGCATGAAGATTAATTTTTTTCCTGAGCATATAGGCATTTTGTTATGCACGTTTCATTACATAAGACTTGGGTTACAAATAAATCATAACTACAAGACAGGAATCAAACAACATTGTACTATCTGGGATAGACATAGTTTGGATATTGCACATATTTATGGTTGCAATCCATCTGTGCCTTTTGTTCCCATCTAAAATAGAGAAGTCTTAAGGTAGATAATACTATGAAAGGCTGCAAATCTCATCTTACTTTTTCCAACAGAGGGCAAACTCATATTTCAAAAATTCAATTACTGCACAGTAGGAAACTATGAGGATACTTCTGAGGTGCCAATAAAATCCATGGGACAAATGAAATTAATTTTTTGTGTCTGTGCAGTAGAAATACTTTTAAACACATACACACACACACAAATAAATTTCACAGTGCTACATTCGTAGTAAAAAGGAATTCAAAAGACATCAAGAGAATCACAAGCCTCAGTAGATTTTAATATTAGCATCACTAGTGTCTGTCTTGCTAGTATGGAAATTTTTACAACAGATAGCTGAGGTGTGCACCCAGGGCAAATTCAGCTAAATAAGTTCATGTATTTCCCCCCCATATTCTATACATTCTACTTTGGGATGGAGGGAGTGGAGAGGCTCACTAAAACTTCATAATAAAATCTGTTTGAGAATTACACCTTTACACATTCACCCAATCATATAATGGGGATTCACAGGTAGAGGAGGAAGTGGGGCTGTACCTTCTATCAGTGTTCCTATCTTCACACACAGGGCATCCCTAGCTTTAATGTCTGAGCACACTGAGCATGGACATCTGCAAAGGGTGTCTACATTTGAGCAGCTGTTCATGCTCAGATGATCTTTCTTTAGGGGCAGGTCCAGAAGGTTCAGTCTGCTTACCGTACTTTTCTATTCGTGGATCACCTTCATATAACTAATGCATGAAGGATGCTAAGGGGATTTGCAAAATGGCTTCTTCAATTCACACAGTTCTGGGAAGACTTTAAAAAAAAAAAAAGTGTTAGTCTTTATTTTTTCTTAAATGTATAACTGCCAAGCAGGGGAATAATCACAGTTGAAACAGTACTCTATCTGTATTAGAGGAGAAATAATGCTGAGCTTTAATATAGAAAAATGCACACGCCGATTGTCAGATATTAGTATTAGTATTGCTCTCTTAGTCTTCTAAGCACCAAATTAAATACTAAGCAGTGGCAGTGTCGATTGAACACTGGTTTAATCCACTAAGGGGAAGACATGTGGGATACTTATGAAAACCATTTCCACTGATTTAGAGAAAAGCAGAAGGTAGTTCTGCCTTTAAAACCCTGTCAATTTTAAATGAAAAAAAACCCTACACTGAATAGCTCCTGTACACAGAAATCTTAATTGCTACACTGCCTAAAGTAAACATAACTAAATAGGCCTTCTGTTACACACTCTTCAACTAAGAAGTCTTTATATGCTATGGCAATTAAAATTCTTGTGGTCTGGGAACCTTGAATTCATACATCCAGCAGTCTTTCTAGCCTCCTTTTTCTAAGGTAGGTTTTTATTTTCTTTTGTCACTAACTAGCTAAGAGTTTCATTTTACCAGAACAAGCACTTCCACAAATGCTAAATACAAAACAGATGTTAACGTTTAAGTCTCTTGAGATGTTTAAGGCCAAGTAGCAATGTAGCTTCCAATCCACTCACTCCGATGTGAAGGTTCAAGGTACACAATGATTTTAAAACAGATTTATGAATAAATATTTTCAGCAGAGCATTTTATTATGGAAATGGGTATTTCAATATCCTTATTTTGCATTGTTCTATTCATATTAGGACTAAATACTCAAACCAGTAAATGTTCAGATTAGGCAATGTCATACCCTGCAATATTTCTCTGATGAAAATAGGGACGTCCCATTCCATAATGATAATTTTACTATTTATACCCCACACATCTTACTGGTTTGCCCCAGCCACTCTGGGAAGCTTCCAACATATATAAAACATATATAAAATATAATAAAACATTAAACATTAAAGAAACCCTTCCCTATATAGGGTTGAATTCAGACAGCTCAGTGGTCGGATAACTCCATACCCTCCAACATTTCTCCAGTGAAAATAGGGATATCCTAAGGAAAAGTGCTGGCTTTTACCTTTAAGGTCATTCATGGCTTGGGACCAGGGTACTTGAAGGACCAGTCTATCTACTTGTGTTTTTTGAGCTCTTCCTTGAAGGCCCTTCTCCAAGTGTCATTCCTCTCAGAATGGTTATGGCTACTGAATGTTAAATTGCTTTAACAATAGCAGCTTTCCAATGGGCATTCTGGGAAAATATATATGGTAGCCATGTGCCCAAAGGAAACCCACAGACTCCATTCTGCACTCACTTCCAGGCTCACAGCCACTATATTTATTTCCCCAGAATGCCTGGATGTAGTACCATTCCAAGGGGCATTTAAGGGGAATTGTATCACTCAAGGCTTTCTGAGGAAATAAATAAAATGCTGTCTAAGAGGAACACAGACCAACTCTTGAGTTTTGACCTCTGCTCTAAAAATACATGGGTGGGGGCCTGGCACGGATGAAGAGGAAGCTGTGCAAGCCTTGGCTGGCAACATGCCAGCTCCTGGCTTGGGCCAGCAGAACTTCCTATGGGTGCACTACGGAGAGCTGAAGTGGCTGGTGCAGGGTAAGTCGTGGCACCAAGGAGTCTGTGTCCAGCACCTCCTGGGAGAGCCCGCATCTCAGAAGTTGCACTAAAAATGGGAAGCGAACCCAGAGCAATGCGTTAGCCCCCTTCCCCATGGTGATGCCACTTCCCCCTTTTGCACCTTGCCCCAGGTGTTGGCAACCCATGCCACTGGTGAAAGTGCACAGGAACCAGAGTAAATGGTAATGTGTACACAGCTGTCGGCTTAGAACAATTATCCCTTTAGTATAGCTTCAAATTTCATTCACTTTAATTCCTCCAATAAAAATTATTCCCTATGTAAGCAGACAAAAGAAGCCATATTTTGCTCTTAGTTATAATGGTAAATCCAGGGGTTTCAGGAATGAATAGATAAGGGCATTTTTTTAAACAACAACAACAACAACAACCAGAGTTTAAACCAATGTGTAGAGTGCTCTTCCCAAAGCTTTTGGATTTAACACAAAGGTTTTGGAATAAGCTTCTGCCAATGCATGATTTAGCTGTCTCATATCAGTCCCTTTATTCATCTACACCTCCTCGGGGCTGGATTCAGTTTTTATCCAAAAAAGGGCAGTTGCTGATCCTTACTCAAAACATAGGCACAGGCAGGCCAAGCTTTCACTTAAGAAATCATTAAAGAAAATACACCTCCAAACATGCCTCATAATCAATTTGGAAATGTTACTTATTGGCTGAGAGTCTTTGCTTGGAAATATAAACACCAGAGACAATTAGTAACACATTCTCAACTTCCTTTTAAAAAGAAAAAAAAAGTTGAATCTTGCCTTTTTTTCTAAAAGCACAGCCAACTCTTCCTTCTTCTATGGAGAACAGAAAGATAATATACAAAAATATTACCTTAAGGTGATAGCTATTGTTAAGACATGCCGCCATGTCTATGTGTCCTTGTCAAAATATTTGGCTATGGTTCTAAGACACAAAATAGTTTACAAAACATAAGAAATTGGCTATTTCAGAATCAGCTGGGGGCAAATGACCTACATGGCCACACAACATTGTGTATAATAAAATAAAATGTAAAATAAAATAAAATAAATAGGAGAGGGAGAAAAGTTTAGTCAAGCCAATGCAAACTAGAAAATATTGATCTGAAACTGAGATGGTAATTGTGATTTAATAGTATAATTTGTGTATTATAAAATTTTATATTTAGAATCGTCAAAATTTATATTTAGAATTCTAAATTTTATATTTAGAATGCTAGCAAGGTGCCTATTTTATTTTCTAAAGTATGCCCATTAATAAAAAAAATCATTGGAGCAGGAAAATAAGGGAAATGTTTATTCTGAGTTCTCCAAAATATCTCGGTTTTCAAATGTAATCCGTTCCAGAAGACCTTTTGACTTCTGAACGTTCAAAAACCAAAGCATTTACTTCTAGAAGCATTTACTTCCAGATAACTCAATACAGAAGCCATGTGGCACGTTCGACTTCCAAAAAGCGTTCGAAAACTGAAGCAGTTACTTCTGGGTTTTTGGCATTCGAAAACCAAAACATTTGACTTCCGAGACGTTCAAAAGCCAAGGTACCACTGTACTTATTTCAAAGTATTAAGGGAAGTACAGTAAATGGGCGTACATGCTTTCACTGAAAGTATACAGAAACATTGCCTAATGTTGGTCCTGTGGGATAACCAGCCTCATATAACCAACATGCTTAAGTCTAATCGATTACTTAAAACAATAAATAAGCTGTCCTGCCAGGCTTAGCTATGTCACTTCCCTTCAACTTGGGAGGAAATGGGCAATCAAGTGTTTCTGTTGGTCTACCTGTGGATTTGGTATGTGAGGAAGTCTGAGCTGGTTACTCCAGCTCAGCCACATGGCTTTAACCATGTGCTAGGG